TACTAAGATTTGTCAAGTTAAGGTAAGCTACCAATTAGTGTTCAAAATACATATACCTCCAAAGAATATTCATTAATCAAATCTAATAAATGAGTTTCTCTCTCGACAACAATTAGAAGAGTGTTGTTCCCTGCTGTTTTCTTTCACTTTGGAAAATATTCTTTAAAAACAAAACAACCGAGCATAGATGGTTGCGTAGATGATTATTTCAAAGCAATACAAACGTAAAACACTTCGAACATGAATAAACTGGGTTACTGAACTGTCGCTAAATAACTAGTGACTGAAATATTTAGACATGAACCATGTAAGATAAAAATATGTATGTAATACACTTTGTGGTTCATGAATCCTTACACATTTAACCTTCTCTAAGAAAGTGATGGACACTTTCGGGTGAGACCATAATTTTTGGACGACCTTTAAGTGAAGCCAGTTTGACATTGGGAGTAACCACCTGATAAATAAAATCACCATTGGAGACCTAGAGGCACTGGATGGCCATTTCGTCCCAGTATAGGACTCCTCCATTCGTGACATCAATTTAAACTCAACAATCTTCACAACTCCATACTGATAATTTCCATGTTCTCACTAATAACTGGCGTCAATTATGAGTGGCTTCAAGATGGATTTCCTGGATTTCTAGTGAGAAGCCGAGGCCAGTGGAGTTCAACCGCGTCTGTTGTGAAGCCGTTACTCACAGAAGACAGTGGTGGACAGTCGCGTAATTTCATGAGCTGATTAAATTTAGACAGCAACACTGTTGAATACCGGCCAGGTGTTCTGAAGGTTAAACTTTCGCGCGTGAGACTAAAGGTCCCGGGTTCAAGCCCCATGTTAAGTGTCGTGGATTCGCACTGTCGATATGTCCTATACTAGAGCGAAAAAGCCATTCAGTGCCACCAGGTTTTTACTGGTGTTCTGGCTTAAATAAATTCATGATTTCAACTATTAGTACCACCACAGTCTCCACCAATCCCAGTTTATTATTATGTTTTGTCAATGGTTTCGGATAATATCCTGAAATTCAAGTGTTGGGTGGGAATTATGGCATTCAACACACTTTGCAGTATGAGATTTATGATTGATCAACTGAACAAAATATTGCACCAACTCGATCATCGTCAAATGCAGTCGAACGTCATTCATCGATTCGGATCCGATAAACACTGACAGCACACCGTATAGTTTTCTATGGATACATATTATATGAGCAGAACAAAAATGGCATACAAACTGACGTCAGAAGTGAAATCGAGTCATAGACAAAGTGAAAAAAGTGTTTAGTGATAGATGAAAAGATGAACTCAAATTGTGAGATACACAATATCGGAAGATATCAATCTGTTATGGAGTAAATCTTATAGACGTGTGTAACATAAATTACGTTAAATTTTGTCTTTATCTAATACGGTCACAACCTTTTATTATTCCGCATTAATCAGCTGTTTGACCCTTCACCATTTTATATCCTACCATAGAACTTATTTCTTGATTATCAACCAATCCTACTTTAAATTATGTGTCATCATATAATCAGATACATTTGAACAATTAGTAATTTTCATGCCAAATTTTCTCACACTTCAAATGGATATTCAATCTCTGCAGAGTTTCAGCTGTAATCACGCTACAATCTGCATATTGACTTCAATTGTTTTCTCAGTTTATTGTGATACAAATTTTAAAATTACATATGTGTTATTAGAGTAACTCGATTAATCAGTTTCTCAATACTAGAGTTAGAAATCACTACAACTAACCTTACACAGTGAGGTGCAATCAAGTTAAGGGACAATCAGTAGACAAGAAGTATTACATTGAATAGAAGTCAACTTTAAGAATCAGTTTCCAGGAAAATATCTATTTAACTAGTTGGAAAAATATAGGTACCATGCCATACCATAACCGACGGAATTTTCATCTAGAAATATGTACATTATTTTATCTTTAAGCATATTATTTTATTAGGCTGGTAATTTGTCTGTCAACGCACGTGTTAATATGTTCACTCTTACATTTTGCTTGTTGAATCGTTTTAGTTTCTGTTACCGTGAAAAAAATTAATACCATCTTAAAGACCACTTATTCAGCAGGCACACTGAATACAATATATTGGAAAAGTGTTGACGATATTTAGCATCAGCACGTAGACGTAGAATTATTGTGTTTTATCATTTCGAATCTAAAAGTCAAGTAGAAATGTAACCAAGATATTTTGGATACAACGTATGGATAAGTGTTTGTTACTTCTACTATCTGTTGCTATTACTAATGTCTACTGATATATTTTTAAATAAGATAGGTGGATTTGATAGAAAATTGTTAGTCACGATCTCAAGCCTAAATAAGCAAACAACGTTAAACTGTCTGTTCTGAAAAAGAGGTTCCATGTATTAGCATCGAATTCATGTGATATGTTATGTTAATCCGCCAAGTGATGAAGCTACTTAGAAATTCACACTATTTGCTTATAAATTGTCTTCAATTTCATTTCAAAAGTGAGATCAGTGGAATTCGTTTGGAAAGTGATCAACCTGATATTACTAGTATCTGATTGGAAGAACATGAATAATAATTTACATGTGTTTACGGAAAAGTTACTACCCAGGTAATGCTACTGAAATTATAAAGTCAGTGGGAATATATAACGTAATAAACCAACTGTTTGTGTGATATTACTGTTATAAATTGTCCAAAAATGGCACCTCGTTTAAATCGTGGCCTTGTCAAACGCATATCTCATCAAAGCTCCATACTCACTTGTTGCAACGTCGGGCCAGTGAAATTTTGTTGGGCTCCAACCTATTCAGCCATTTGACGTTAATATGTTTAACGAACGTTGTTAAGGTCAAGGAGGACTGTCGTGAACAAATAGACCTGACAATATGGGTCAGATCAAATGACAGCATGTCCATATCTTATATTTCTCCATTCTCTCAATAAGTCATGGAGAGGATAATGCTCTGTAAAACATAATTGGAACAGTAATCTAAACTCCGACGACATCCAAGAGTTGACAACACTCCAAAAGTTGTAAAAGGTATAGAGCTAATGAATGTAATCAAACCAAACGAAAAAGGGATATTTGAAGACATAGTTAACAACAAATCGAGCACTCTTTATGATGGAAAAACTAAGCGTTGTAACGGGTGACTGCAGGTTTTGATAAGCAGCGTTTTACCGATCGGCTACAGTGACACGTAAATACGTAATGAACGACTTAAAGTCCCGATTGGCCCTGCCTCGCTGTTTATTCCAGTCAGTTCAGTCCAGAACACAAATCTCAGCCTCTGAGTTATGAATCGTTATATTTCAGACACACCCTGCTTATATACCAATCAAGCATACCACATCGTACCATAAAATAGAAAACAACATTTTGTACAATATTCAACAAGTGAACAGATATCGACCAATAGGAAACAATAGGAAATGTCCATTTAAAGTCAGAGGACACTATTGAACTTAACATGATAATTATTGGTCTATTCCTCCGCATCCACAACACTAGGGATTAGTCGAAAGGAAAGGCATAGATAGGAGGATTTTCAAATATGTCTGCTTAAGGGATTTTCGAAATCGATTCTGAATAAGTAATATCCTGTACACCGTAATCCGAAATGTCTAGGTATAGCCTATTGTAAACTATCTAACTTTCATGAGATAGGACAGGTCTTTGTGAGTCTATAGCTCTTCTGACACACTTTTCGGTTCCCTTAGTATAAGAATGTTATCTTTCATAGAATAATCCTTGCTTACAATTTCGTTTAGAGCTCAAACCTTTACATTATTAGCTATTAAATTGGGCATCCTGAAATGGGTCTTACTGGAGTACTCATAACAGATGTCGATAGTTTAAGATGCCTTCAGTGAAACCTTCCGCGATCATTATACTCTTATTTTCCGCGCGCACCCACCACATGGGCGAAAAATGCCCAAAATTTCTAGACATCGTGGACATATTGAATGCTAAAGAAGAAGGTATAATTATACCTGCATAAGTTGTGATCTCAAAAAACTGTGTGCGTCACGCAAGCGTTCATAGTTTCTTAATTAAGACGTCAGAACTGTAACTACAGTGGAAGAATTGCGTCCCAAATAAACTTTTTTCGCAGAAATGTGGCTAAGTACAAATGTGAGTTTTTCTCCGGATGTTGAATGGTCTGTCTGTATTAGAAGTGGTAAGGTTAAAAATTGATAGACAGGAGGCCTCATATTATATAGTGGTAAACATGAGGCATCTGACTTTACAGCCAAATTTAGAAAGGGATTAGTGATTATAGGAGGAACATACCGCAGCCCAAGTTGTCATACTGGCGACGTTTTTCTAAGTAATATTCACACGCGGAGAAAGGATGATCATTGTCACATAGTTGAAAAATTCAACCGTACACACCAAGTGATTAGAGCTCACAACTTCATGTGGATGCTTTGACGTTGACTTATCAAACGCTATATCGCACAATCAAGACAGGCATAGAACATGGACCATCATTGTTGACTTTCCATTTCACAAAGGACTGCGATGATGTTATCGACATGTAGCATGGGTGCTATTACTGATTCTATATCTATGCACAGAAAGAGATAAGTCGAGCCTGACGACCGATCAATCATTCTAACCAACATAGTAGTTAAAATAATTAAGGGAATAATTCGGCTACTTACTAGGTCGCGCAGAATCCCATAATGTGTTGAGTCCTAAACAACATGGGTTTCGTATTAAACGCTCGTGCTTAACCAACTTAAAAATTACGAGAAGTAGTTGGACAGCTTCTCAAGATAGTAGTCTGTCTGTCAGTGTAATGTCGGTAGACTTTAGCGGATGATGTGGTAAGGTCTCTCACTTAAGACTTATACATTTACTAATGAGAGTTTCGACTAACGTGGCATTTTTTTTAATGAACAGTGAATACAGATCATAATAAAACACCGTAGGTTCTTGCTTTTGCAATTTCTTGTTTTACTGTACTAATAATTTTTGTCTCATGGTCATTAGCAATATGTGGGCAATACGGGTGTAGCGGTTTAAGTAGGACAGACTTCGGATGTATTTAGTGCTTCAATGTCAAATATATGTCCGCGTTTGATAGACTATTTTGTACTGGTTGGTTCGCGATTACCTGGGAACGCATGCTCAGTGCAGTCTCCCGAGATTCTTTGTCGATTTCCTCCCACAAACCACAAGGATTTCCCTCTTCCTACAGATGTGTCTTTCTTTTGTCAGCCAGAAGGATGTATTAATACTTCCAGCAACACATTCCCTATAAAATCTTTGGATAATAACCTCAATGGGATAAAATCAATGACATTTTTATTTTCTCTAACTGATAAGGATTCCAGTAAAACACGGTATGGTATTTGCACCAACTTCTTCAGATCAGTCAACCCTAGAAGTGTGAGTAAAACTACGTATCCAAATGGCAGGGAAGGCACACGTTTCGGCGACGTATCTGGTAATGGACTAGTTCCATGTTCGAATGAAAGTATCCAGGATAAATTCTTACTATCTGGAAAACTAAAAAATACAAATAATGTCTATAGCTTAACGTCAATCTGTTTAATCACTCATTATCCTTTTGCTACAACGTTTGCACGGCTTGTGCAATGTGTACATGTAATTTTAAAGAAGCTACACAAATTGTCAAAACCCAGCTGTGTGGAAAGGTAAGTTCTAAGCATTTGCAATTTCATGTTGTGGCATTTCTACCAAATTTCCGGGTGAAACTATAATTTATGATCGATCTTTGAGCGATGCTAAAGTGGCCTTGAGGATGTCCACTTACTGACTAAGGTTAAATGAGGGTTTTAAACCTGTGTGGAGGATAAGGATTGTGAATTACATTTGATGGTTAGGAATAAGGATTAGATTTACGATTTTCATCACGAACTGACATAAGCTAAAATGCTAAGGCGCTGTTTAGCCAAATGGATAAGGTTTTGCGCCGAAATCCAAAGCCTGTTGTCGTGAATCTGATTGGTCCGTTCATAAGACACAGTTTCGCCAATTTTCGAGTTTAGGTTTATCTGTTGTTAGTGAAGTTCAAGGCCTAAAGTTTGCCACCAAATGTTAGCCGCTTAAATAAGTTGTTTTTATGTTCCTCAGTTCTTGAGTAATGTCCTGCTAATTCTATTCTAGCAGCTAATTGTACGATATAATGAAAGCAAATTTCACCATTTTATATCAAAAATTCGTTTAACCTATCGACCTAACCAGAATTTCTACCTTCATTTCACTATCACTTCGTAACCAAGATCATCTTATGATATGTTGATTTGGGCTAAGGATTCGTTGAATGATTGAGGCTTTTACTCGTCACTCTCTCAGTATATATTCTTTTCGATCCTTTTATTCAGTTTGCCATTGAATCACTTATGAGTAATATGTGAAGATTTTAACGGGGGGATCTTCTGTCAATAGTTATTCCAATTCATTTGTTCTAGTGGTTTAGCATCCACTTTGTGACCTGAAGGTCTTAGTTTCGATCCTTGGTGAGGTCGTAGATGTACACTGCATATGGAAAAGTGGTTCATTGATTAAAGTGTTTAATTCAGCTACTAAGCTGGATGTTCTGACCCCATCTGAATTAATTCTAGACAACCAGTTAGTATCAACAGCCCTCACACTCACTGTCTGGAAAACAAGTGCACAATTTTGTCTCTGATAAACAAGTTATATAAATAAATTAACTAGCAGCGTTCTTCTTCCACTACTTGAAGATTTAAGTTCTTTTAAATTTTTTTTTCATAATTCATTTTCTGCGACCTTTATGTTTCAGTATTGTTCTTAAAACATGCCGAAATCAACTTTCGTTTCCCCCCTCAAGCTCTGTTTTACCCATCTTGTTTCACGAACAGTTACATCTAAGATCTATTCATCAAAATTTTAACTACCACCATAAATTATTCTTTAAAGTAGTTCTCAAGTAAGATTAAATGTTTTTCACACCCTACAACACTTGGATACGTTTTTAAACCAAATCGAATCAAGGTACAAATTAAACAGCTGAGCCAAACCTTGATATTTCAGGAACACTCATTCAGATTCTTAAGCTTTATATAACGCAGCAAAAAGATCATTAAATTGATGGGATATGCGTCCTAAATGAACAAGTTTTATAGTTGTAACTTACTTACGCCTGTTACTCCCAATGGAGCATAGGCCACCGACCAGCATTCTAGAACCCACTATGTCCTGGGTGTATGGTGGTTAATCACAATATGAACATATAACTTTCTAATTTGTCTTCAGAATATAGCCCTTCCCAGGTCACTTTTATGTAACTTTGTCATTGACGTGCTTTTAGAAATACCACTTTCCTGATCTAAATTTCCAAAAGCTGAACTTCTACTGGGAAATTCACTTGTTGACTTAGAATATGCCGATTTAGTGAAGACGCTGAAAAAATGCAGTCTTATGACCACTCTAAGCAACAATGCAAGTATGTTCGGCATGCGATTCTCACCCTCGAAATGCAAAATATTGCTCCGGGAATGGGTTGCATCGCTACCCCAACTAATGATGGGGAGTGAAGTAGTTGAGCGTGTCGATCGCTTCACTTATCTAGAAAGTTTCATCAGCCCCTTGTGGTCTGGTGTGTGACGAAATCTCAGAGCGCATACTGAAGGCTCGACTAGCTTTTGTAAACTTGCGTCATTTATGGCGTAGGCGAGATATCCGTCTATCAACCAAAGGACGTGTTTACAGAGCAGCAGTTCGCTCCATCCTACTTTATGGCAGTGAAACGTGGCTGGTAAGAGTAGAAGATATTCGTAGGTTACTAGTATTTGATCATAGGTGTCTTGGAAACATTGCTCGCATATCCTGGGACCATCGAGTAAGTAACGCAGTTGTTAGGAAACGGGTACTAGGTAAGGATGGCGCATCAAGTGATGAAATAGTGAAACTTCACCAGTTTAGATGGCTGGGACACGTGTTACGTATGCTCAGCCACCGACTGCCCCGACGTGCAATGTTTTATGTGGTAGGAGTAGTTTGGAAGAAAGCTAGCAGCAGCCAGACCAAAACATTGCACAAATCCATGAAGTGACTGACAAGTGGTCTGAGTCATGTTGGTAGGTGTAGACTACCTGATTGGAATCTGCGAGACGATAGCAACCGATGGTTGGACACCTTTAGTGACATGGCTCAAAATCGTTTGCAATGGCGCAGGTTCATTCATTCTTTGTGTTCTCCCGAATTCTAATCTTCTAAATTCTTCATGTCCCTTTCTTTTCTCTTTCCAAATTTATTTCACTTCATTATACTCCTTGAATAACATCTTCGAACCCTAATCTTTGCGATTACTGCCTATGCTCTTACTACCTCTACCACTATGGGATTTCAATCGACAACTGCATTTCTGTGCTAATGTGGTGTGGCAACTCGAACCGATGTACGTACGTACGAAGTTCTACGTTGTTACTGACTGACTGACGTTTATGTAATAGGACCAAAAACTTGATTCACCTAACTATTTACGTTGTATTTCATGATTAAAACGTGCTTTAATTGATATCTGTTAGTGAAACTATTATCTTGTGTAAACATTTTACTGTTATCGGTTAATTCCCACATGGACAGATCTGCTGTTACACCTGTTTCGTTTTCTCCATGTTATCATTGATTGTTATGTCATGTTATTGTCGAGAGTTTACGTCGAGTACTCCTAGTTGTCCACGTTAATCATTAAGTGAAACAGCCATGAATAGAGCTTCAATTATGCACAGAATATTTAGTACTCATTATTTGATTTTTTTTACCACAGATCCCTGTGCCTTTTAAGTTTTCAATTGTTGATTTGCATTCAGTACTGGTGCTAGGTGTCATGACTTTTACTGATGTACTTGTTTGCAAAATACGACGTTTATAAGCTCATGTGTGCACATGCTTCAATAACTTGTTTTATTGATGCGTTTATGTAAGAGGGTTAGAAAAAAAACAAATACATTGGTTTCGAAGATACCCTCAGGCTACGATTTTAGTCCATAGTTATTTTAAATTAAGACATCGCAAGTTCATTCGTTTTTCGAACAGAAGTTAGAAAAGTTGTCCATTTAAGTTCAACCAGGATGTCGCTTATAGGTTTGCCATCATGACTAGCTATTCGGCTAAGTTTCAACTACTTATCACCTATGAGGGTTTAAGCAGTCATATATAGTCGTCAGAACATCCTCATGCTTAAAACCACAGTGGTTTACTAAGTCATATTCTCATTTATTTTTGCCGATGCTAGTTACACATTTTAGTTAAGAAATTGCCTTTTCATCTTTTACTTGATCAAGCTCTTAACATTTGTTTCATAAACGATCAGAATTTGTTATAGCTGTCCTGTTAAAAAAGACCACTAATTTTCTTTTCTAGTCCAGATATATGGGATGTATTGACAAGTAATATTACACTATCATGCTCTTATCCTGTTGTGGAAAGCACACGTCAGTTCCAATGTTGGATTCTCCGGCTTCTCAGTGCACCTGCACCAATTCCTGGCTGTACATGTGTATATGTAAGTATTTGTATTGCTTAATTTCCCTTCATAAGTTGTTGGAAGCAAATTTTGGCATATTTCATTTTCATTTGTGCACATAAAAACGCTACCAATTGTAAATAATTAATTAAAAGTCTTAAAAGTAGAAGCTTTCTAGATGAAAAACTTCGGTCTCAATATGGGTATAGCAAGAAATTCTTATCTCATTTAATTAATGTATAAACTACCCCTGAAGTCCTCTGGATAATATTTTATCACTGCCAAAGTACAGCGTTAAAAGAGATGGTTTAATATAATTTGGTCAGTATTTTCAACTTATAAAACCCCCAAATACCCTGGTGTGGCCGAGAGTGGGGTGGCCCCCTCCTCCCTCTCGAAATGCTCTCACATGGCCACGCGTATACAGCCTGTGCCAGGGAAGTCCTACTCATTGCTTTCTCATGGTGGGGGTGTTGTTCACGAAATTGAGAGGACGAAAAGTGAATGTCCGACGCTCTAACCGGGTTAGTGGACACGGAAAGTCCACCTAAGGGAGTTGGAAAACCTTGATTCTAAACCAATGGTGCACATGGTCTCCAGTATCCTAAAGGAACAAATGGCGTATGAATTAATAGTTGGTCACCGACTACCATGGGACTGCATCTCCTCACAATGCTCCACTGCCTTATGGATTAGAGGTTTAGGTCAAATGCTCAAGGTGTGGCCCCCTTAGAAAATCACCTGCTTCGGTCTGGGCACCCGGGCAGCATCACAGTCCACACACATACAAATATGGTGTGGCGCATATATATTTGGTGCCCTCTTGTACCAATATTTATGTGTTCAAATAAATAAATAAAATAAAACCTAAAATTTCCATACAATATTTAAAAAGTAAGAGTATTAGAATAAACGATCGTTTTCGATAATTTCTTCATCAGACTTAACAGTTACAAAACCCATAGTTATTGTTTTCCTGTTACGGTAGATAGAATATTAAAGTTGAAATAATTCATGTTATAAATTGAAAAAGATAAAGAATATTAGACGGGGCAATATATCCACGACTTCACATCACTCTATTATAAAATCAATGTATTTAATTGTCTGATTCATAGAATCTGACATCTATGTTCTAAGGATAATATAGAAGGAGACCTAGGCAAATCATGGATCATACTACTAGAAAATGGATACCACTGTAATTTTTATAGTGAAATGCATAACTCAACCTGAAAGCAAGATATGAATTTCCACAGTTGAGAAGTAAACTGTTTCAAGGGTGATGTAGTGAGCTCATTATGCATGGATTCATCAGTATTAAGTGGTTCAACACTTTGCTTAATTATATCAATTAGTCAGCTTTGTTCAGTAGTTTGTGATTAACTTTTAAGTTATATAATTTATTTCTTTATTAAATTAACAAAAATCCTCATAGTCACTTTTTTTACTGATTGATTTACAAACATTTGTGTTAAATTATCTAAATTCTGTTTCCTTCTGTAATAATTCAGCTTTCAGTTCAACCGCAAACCTTAGGTTCACCTTTGTGTTTTGCTCTTCCTGATCAATCACGTCTTCCTTTGGTTGATTTTCCTGTGAATCTGCCTTTTGAAATTATGGGTATCAGGAAAACTTTTCGTTTAATTATGTGTCTTCTATTGGAACAAAAAGTAAGTTTACTTGACTTCATATAATCAGGATCCTTTTTATGTGTTTGAACAGTCAGTCAGATATAACGTAGGATCAGACACATATATGCCTCGGTCCAAGTTGCCATACCTCATTAACACAACAAGGTGAACACACACCGAATTCATAGAAGTAGTTAATTCAGTGGTGGTAATATATAAAAGAAAGATTGCATATAAGGACATAGTACAGAAAAAAAGAAAGATATGGAATGATTTTAATCTTATAGTTTAAAGGAAGACAGAGAGTGTATGCACCTACGCCATGTGATCCATTTTGAGCTATGTCACCAAGACTCTCCAACCATTGGTTAAGATAGTCACGCGGACCCCAAACAAATAGTCTGCGTCTATCAACATGGCTCAGACTAGAAGTTAGTGACTTCAAGCACTGTGAATAGAGATTATTGTTTAATTAATTAATTAATTAAATTACACATTTCTGTAGTCGATATTTGACTGAACTCTTTAAGCATAATATTGGCCAATGATAACCGGGTTGATCAAACAAAAATATATGAGGTGGGATTTAACCCTGCTCCCTATTCATCGATTTTACATTTTAGTCCAACTTGTTTAGCTCCCACCTTCATATTTATTGATTGTTGATAGATTGTTTTCATCGATATATTTCTGTCTACTTTATTGATATTGTCTCCATTGGACCTTATTTAAAACCATAATTTGACAGTATAGTGACGTAATTGTTTTTTAAAACCATTTTGTTGATATGATATTATGCATATTAACTGGACATGAACTAATGTGCATTCGTGTCAGCCCCTATATTGATGACATATATATATATATATATATATATATATATATATATATATATATATATATATATATTCTTTCTGTTCATTATTTTTCGTTTATACAGTACCGGTAAAATAGACAACTATTTTATCGTCCTTATGACAATATATTTATATTACCATTAAGACATAAACCCAGCATATATTGTTTCAAATACTGTTATCCACTAGGCTATGACAAAGTCACTGTGTCCATGAACTTTTTAAAAAATCATGTATGATACTTATTGTCAATTATAAGGTGTTGTCATTCATGTGATTGTTATTCAAAACTAATAACATGTGAGCTTCTTTGAAATGCTGACAATATCGAGTTATTCGTTCAATGAGTTCATATTCCAACAAGAACTGATCAAAATCATCCTTAGATATTAACAACAAGACAATATGAATCCTTTTATTCATTGATCATTTATTACTATGGTTAAATGTTTATAAAATGTGATAAGAAGGGCTTATTTAATACTTCGATTCTATAGTATGTACTAAATTTAACATTTACAATTATTAAAATAAGTCATGTTTTACTTACTTACTTACGCCTGTTACTCCCAATGGAGCATAGGCCGCCGACCAGCATTCTCCAACCCATTCTGTTCTGGTCCTTCCTTTCCAGTTTTATCCATTTTTTTGTTCATTTTACTCATTTCTGTCTCCATTTCTTGGCGTAATGTATTCTTTGGCCTCGATATACGAATGGTAACACTATCTTGTATGAAAAAAATTGTATCTCTCAGTCAGCCTGTCATAATCAATATATAAGGTCTGGCACAAATGTTCATCGTCTCAATTCTCTACACCACACATATTACAACGAAATAAAAATTTTATTAAAATTAATATCAAAATAGTAGAATTAGTACTATTAGTAGTGTCGGTGTTATTATGATAGGTTAGTCATGATATAATAACTTGTACTTAATAAATAAATAAAATGAATGAAAATTAATATACGGACATCTCAACTATGATAAGTAACCAATGGTTCGAAACTCTTGGTGACATGGCCCAGAATCGATCACAATGGCGTCGATATATACACTCTCTGTCTTCCCTTAAACTAAGAGATTAAAATCGCTTCATATCTTACTTTCTACGAACTAATTCTTTCTTCCTGTACTATATCCTTATATACAATCTTTCTTTTATATATTACAACAACTGAATTAACTACTTCTATGAATCTGGTGTATATCTTGTTGTGTTAATGAGGTATGGCAAATTGGATTGATGCATATATGTGTCTGGTCCTACATTGTAGCTGACTGACTGACAACTACGATAAACTCATTCATACGTTTTTATTATTTCTTTTTTTAAACACATAAACATTGGTACAAGAAGGCACCAAACAGATATGCGCCACATAAACCATTCGATTTTTGTGAGGGCTGGGATACTGCTCGGGTTCTCAAACTGAAGTAGGGCCATACTCCGAGCCTTTGACCTATAGGTCTGATCCACAATGTAGTGGAGCTACGTCACAAGATGCAGTCCCATGGCAACCAGTGACCAACAATAGGCTCATACGCCACTTAGTTCCTTAGGATCCTGGAGCCCATGGACACCATTGGTTTAAAATCAGGATTTTCCAACTCCCCTCTGTAAATCCTCCATATCCACCAACCAGGTTAATGTGCCGAACATTCGCTTACTTAGACTAATCAGTTCATTACTGCCAAATGATAAAGTAGAAACTTGAATATAAATAAATAGTGACTGTCGTAATTCAATAAATACATGCATAGAACTCATGTATTTTAAGCTGTAAACACTTCGTTTTTCAATGTATGACATGAAAGTACATTCGCTTAATAAGTAGTTTTGAAAACGTGTATATTCTAAATTACTAATAGTTGATAGTTTGTTTGTTTATAGCTATATGACTATCATTTTTACTGCTAAAATCTAAATGTTTTCTTTCATCTTGGATTTTTCATCTTTGTGTATAGAATCATCGTATAATTAATCTATATTACACAGATTGAAATCATGAGTCAGTTGAAGCTAGACCACCATTGAAAACCTGGAAGTACTGGACGGCCGTTTCATCATAGTGGTTAAGTGCTTGCGTGCGAAGCCAGTAGGTCCTGTGTTCGAGCCCCGCGTGGTGCGGGATCGTGGATGCGCACTGCTGAGGAGTCCCATACTAGGATGAAACGGCCGTCCAGTGCTTCCAGGTTTTCAATGGTGGTCTAGCTTCAACTGACTCATGATTTCAATTTGTGAAATTTCTAAAATCTCCACAAAACCCATTCTGATAATAATCTATATTATCTTATACAATAGTTCATATTTTCACTTAACCATTATATGTTCTAATATATTTTGTCTTCTTTTGTTATCTAGGTGGTTTTACAATCATCTGATTATAACAAGTTATCCTTAACAATTTTATCATTGGTTGCATTACTCTATCCACTTCAATATATGTTCCCAGTTATTCCTCTTCTGCCTGCATGTATGCCTGATGCAGAACAGGTTAGTGTGTATTGGATTGAAGTGGTATTTTGATTAAAATTTATTATTATTATTATTCAACTAAAAGTTCCTATTCGGTGCATAGTCCCACTCATATTCTCTTAAACTATAAAGAACACAAATTCTGGTAAGAATGTGTATCAGCCCAAGTTGTTCTACATTTCATATCAACATATTGAGTGAGATAGAGAGAGATGTATAATTGGTTCAGTAGAAGAACACAGAACACAGAAAGCTTTCTGAACTTCTTCAGAAAGCTAAACGCTCAGACATAGTACTCGTAGGGAGTGACTTTAATGCTCAGATAGGTAGCTTAAACCAAACAGAAAGGCATTTAGGTGGATATTTTAGCATTCCGGCACAGTGAACAGATAATGGTGATCGTCTGCTGCAACTGTGCTCAGACAATCGCTTATTTTTAGCAAACACAAATTTTAAGCATAAGGAGAGACATCGTCTAACATGGCGACCCCCTACACCAAACCAACGATGGACTCAAATAGACCATATTGCCATCAGTCATCGTTGGAGAGGGTCGGTAGAAGATTGTCGCTCATTCTGGAGTACCTGCTTGGACTCCGACCACGCCCTGATACGGGCACGCATCTGCTTGCGCCTCACCGGACGCAAAAAAGCCACATTAAAAAGACCAATTAGAACTGAATTGAGTAACGAAAAAACCAAAAGTAAGTTCCAGGAACAACTGACGTCACACTTAGGTAGTTCTGAAGACGAGGCTGACCCAGATGTTGCTTGGAAAGACATAGAAGCAGCTGTGGAAGCAGCAGTGACATCTATTAGCAACTTAAACCACAGAGTTTCAAAGAACCAGTGGATTTCTTCAAGGTCTATCACACTGATGGATTCCCGCAAACTCGTCCCATCAGGTTCCGAACATGATAAAGACCGACAACAAATCAGATCTAGGTTAAGAAAAAGTCTAAGAAACGACCGTGAGCAGTGGTGGGCAACGAAAGCAAAAGAGATGGAAAAGGCGGCGACTATAGGGAACACAAGACAACTTTATAGACTAACAAAAGAAACTGGAATTAATAAGTCAAGTGTAAGTGAGATTATTTCGGAAAAAGACGATACACTCATCTGCTCCCAGTCCAGGCGTTTAGAACGATGGGCTGAACATTTCAGAGAACAGTTCAGCTGGCCTTCAGCTACTCTACAACTACCCTCCATTCCCAGACAGCGTGAATGGAACATTGAAGTAGGTCCCCCAACTCTTGCTGAAGTTCAAAAGGCTATAGATAATCTGAAACGAGGAAGGGCTGCCGGTCCAGATGGACTGGCTCCAGAAGTCTTTAAGGATGGTGGTCCAATTTTAGCGATTAGGTTGACTAATATTTTAGCTAAGATCTGGGAGTTAGACGTTATTCCATCTGACTGGTCACAATCACTTATCGTCCCAATATATAAGAAAGGGTCAAAATCATCCTGTGACAACCACAGAGGGATTAGTTTAACTAATATAATATCTAAAATACTAGCCTCAATAATAATCAGACGCCTAACTAAAACTTGTGAACTGCAAACACGAGAAAATCAAGCTGGCTTCAGACCTGGTCGTGGCTGCATCGACCACATATTCACCATTCGTCAGGTTCTAGAACACAGGCATACTTATCGGCGTCCGACGATGATGGTCTTTCTTGACTTAAAAGCAGCATTTGACTCGGTAGACCGCGAGATTCTGTGGCAGTGTCTGTCATTGAAAGGCGTACCCCAGAAGTACATAAACCTTGTAAAGGCTCTTTACTCGAACACTGCTAGTCGAGTGAGAGCTTATGGCGAACTGTCATCTAGTTTTGCAACCTCAAGTGGTGTCAGTCAAGGATGTTCACTTTCCCCATTTTTGTTTAACTTCTGATGGAAATAACTTTCTCGTCGACTGAGTTCTCGGGTATTGATCTCCATCCAGGAGGTCCACTTATCGACTTAGAATACGCAGATGACATAGTCCTGTTTGGTGAAGACGCTGACAAAATGCAGAGTCTTCTGGTAGCACTGAGCAACAATGCCAGAATGTTTGGAATGCGCTTCTCTCCCTCTAAATGCAAGTTGTTGCTTCAGGACTGGTCTGCGTTAACACCTGAACTAAGGATAGGGAGTGAAGTAGTCGAACGCGTTGACAACTTCACTTATCTTGGAAGTCTGATCAGCCCTAATGGGTTGGTATCGGACGAAATCTCAGCACAGATTCGAAAAGCTCGTTTGGCCTTTGCCAACTTACGTCACCTGTGGCGAAGGCGAGATATCCGTCTATCAATAAAAGGACGAGTATACTGCGCGGCAGTCCGTTCTGTTTTAATTTACGGCAGCAAAACATGGCCATTAAGAGTAGAAGACACTCGTAAGCTACTAGTATTTGACCACAGATGCCTAAAAAATATTGCTGGCTTCTGCTGAGATAACCGGGTAAGTAATAGTGAGGTTAGACGCAGGGTATTAGGAAATGATGGTAAATCAGTTGATGAGGTTATGAATCTTCATCGACTGAGATTGTTGGGCCACGTGTTACGTATGCCTGAACACCGATTACCACGACGTGCAATGCTATCCGGTATTGGAAATGGTTGGAAGAAAGTTAGGGGCGGCCAAACCAAAACGTGGTATCAGTGCTTGAAGTCACTAACTTCTAGTCTGAGCCATGCTGGTAGATGCAGACTACTTGGTTGGGGTCCGCGTGACTTTCGTAACCAATGGTTGGAGACTCTTGGTGACATGGCTCAGAATCGGTCACAATGGCGTCGGTGTATACACTCCCTGTCTTCCCTTAAACTATGAGATTAAAATCGCATCATATCTTTCTTTCTACGAACCAATTCTTTCTGCTTGTACTATATCTCTATATGCAATCTTTCTCCTATATATTACCACCTTTTACCTAACCATTGTTATGAATCTGGTGTTCATCTTGTTGTGTTGATGCGGTATGGCAACCTGGACCGATGCACATATGTGCCTGGTCCTACGTTGTAGCTGACTGACTGACTGACTGGTTCAGTAGAAGGTGATCAATATTTTCAAAGAACTTAATTAAATATTTCGATAAAGATAATAGATAGATTTTACCGCATTAGTACAATGGAATGTAAACTATGTAGTCAGAAAAAAAACCATATTATGGAGGCATATTGAAATCATATTGTGGTGTGCATTACTTATACAGACAGACATAGTAAGAATTGGAATTGAAATGTTTACTTACAGGAGATCGAAATGAAGAGAAAAGGAAGGGATACAGAGAGGGATTGGAACAACAATAGGATTGGAAGAATGATGGAGTATGTAATGGACAACCTAAGGAAGATATGCAAATGATGTATTCAATTTTTATATTTTACATATTTTGCATAAAACAATAAATTGGTTTACCATACCTTTTGTAGGACTTTAAGGTTCAAACAAACCCCTGAACAACTAAATATCTCTCAGATTGTCCTTGAGTAACACGACTATGCTTAGTCTCCTATTCAAATACTTTAAGAAATGTAAGAAGACTAAAATGTATTCATTGTGTACCCATTCACAGCAGTATGGAAGTGATATGTAATTACATTTAATCCTTTGACTGATTTTATTGTAATTTACTCCCATCATTATTGTTGTGAAAAAAAAGAACTAAGACATATCAGTGGCGACGCGGATTGAAAAAATAAGCAATGTCAGCCAGTAATTGGACGAAAGTCAGTGTAATTATTTCAGACAATCAGCATACAGAATTGCCGTCGGTATCCTCGGACAACATTGATTGTTAATTTGCCATACAGTATTTTTCATTACCGTGCTGATTCATACAGAAACAGAAAATAGCTCTCTTTTCTGATCAATTACGGTTTCTGTTTCAGCGATAACAGCAGCATTTTAAAAAGAATCAGTTGGAATTTATAGAAAAATTATACACACGGCTGCTAAATCATCCATGCTTTGTAGATGTGACGGGAGTTAATGAACTAATTTCTAAATTGCGTACAGAGCTGGAAAATGATTGCAGAACGTATGAATGTGTTGATGAAAACCGTCTATGAATCGTTGACAAACGGTAATGTAAACAAAGCAGTAGCAGTCATTCATGATCCGCCCAGTGGTGTTAGAGATGGTTGGAAAAGAATTAGGGGCGGCCAAACCAAAACGCGCCATCAGTGCTTGAAGACACTAACCTCTAGTCTGAGCCATGTTGGTAGATGCAGACTACTTGGTTGGGGTCCGCGTGACTTTCGTAACCAATGGTTGGAGACTCTTGGTGACATGGCTCAGAATCGATCACAATGGCGTCGGTGTATACACTCCCTGTCTTCCCTTAAACTAAGAGATTAAAATCGCTTCATATCTTTCTTTCTACGAACTAATTCTATATTCCGGTACTGTATCCTTATATACAATCTTTCTCCTATATATTACCACCTTTAACCTAACCACTCCCATGAATCCGGTGTTCATCTTGCTGTGCTAACGAGGAATGGCAACCTAGACCGGTGCATATATGTGCCTGGTCCTACGTTGTAGCTGACTGACTGACTGACAGTGGTCCAGAAACATCCATTTCGGATACACGCCCTGTAGTGGGTTCAAATCCCATTGTCCCCGAAACAAAATGTACAAACACTGACTTGTCGAGCTCACAGAATGCATATGAAATTGTTGCAGTATCCGCCCACGAAGAAACACAAAATGAACTAAGCAGTATAATGAAGACAACTGCATCAATTGGAGCTCATCATGCGAGGACAAAAGTTCCTGATGAATCTACTCATCAAGGTTCCCTAGTTGTTTTACCAGATATGAGTTATATTAATGACTCACATGTTTTTGATCATATTTCTTACAAAAGTGAGAAAAGTATGTCGGATGTATCAAATGATGATCAAGAACCTAATGAAATTTTGATAGATATTGATTATCCTAGTGATCACTTATCTACTAATGTGATTCTCAAGAAATTTGACGAAAATGTTTCAGAAGAATCAAACTTTAATGACCTCATATCAAGTGTCGTTGATCCTCAACATCTATTTAGTTCTAGTGGACTCTCTATTCAATGCAGTTAATATGTTTTAAATAGAGTCACACTAACTGTAACTTGGGACTATGAGGATCCAACATTATTTTGTGGGGGGGGGGAGGGAGGATAAAGTCATGATCTAAACTTCGAATCTTCAAGAAAAAGAATGGGAGGTGATATGACGGGAAGAAAAGTCAAAATTCGATTGATTCACTCATTATGAGTTTTGTTGAACATTACTTTCGTTTTGATTCAATATGATGATTACTCAATGTAGCATTTGTTACTGTTATCCTATATGATATTTTATTCTGTATAACATACGATATTCTTGTATTAAAAATTGACATGAATTATGCTTACCATTGGATTTGTTATAACTGAGTATTTTTTATGTATGTGATGTCATCCTAATTACTAATCAAAATGGGTCTACGAATCAATATATAAATGAGTGTATTTTTGACCGAGGTCATCGTTGTCATCATCGTGTTTTAGGGTTAATAAATCTTCACTTATACCAGTCTTTATGTTCTTACTTTCGTGTCGTAGGAATTGCAGAGGTCCCTCGTTTCGAGTATAAGTGATAAGCGTTTCCGACATGATAATCAGCGACGACTATATATAAAAAGTAGCATCCAAACAACAAAACATCAGTGGCGACGGGGATTTCGGAAAAAAATTGTGAAATTATGTCAGTTATCTTACTGACCCGTGCATACCGTCTCCAATCTCCACCTCTATTCAGAATGCCATCCAGCATCTTAAGGCAGTTTCAAGTTTAAATAATGAGCACTACATCATGTATTTGTAATTAGTATTTGGTACACATCACTTGACTGGATAATATTAGTAGTGTCATTTTTAGGTGGTTCACTTTAAGCAATCTATGTCTTGATTACAATTGAGTTCTAAAGAAATTAGATGATAATATTGAGTGGCTGAAGCGCTTAACCTTCAAGTGTTGCGTTACACGGGTTGGAAAGTGATAAGCAAGAGTGATTTCTAACAAAGTTCACGGCTTCCGTAGTTATCAATCACCTCAAGATATTTAACATTGAAATGTTGTGTTACGTGATAGCTATTGTCATAAGCTGGAGTTTTTCCTTCCATGTGTTGAAATGCCATCTTTCTGACCATTATTGTAACTTGAATCTTCTCCACGCAGCTCAAAAGGACCAGCTTGATAATAGACAGAAGTGAAAACAAGAATAATTGTTCTGAGTGGATACAACACAATCACTGTTCAATACTATGCCTGAGAAACTCTTGACCTTCTCTCAACTATCAAGAACAGAAAGCCTATCCTACAACTATGAAGAATGTACATAGGATAAAAATATCAGTTATATACATAATTTCTTCGCAGTAATCATTATTTTAATTCAAATAATCAGAACCTAAGTGAATAACTCACTGACAAAATATCATGCTGAATGGATGTATAACAGAGTGAACTCAATTATCTTATTGAAATAACTTATCATTTAAATCATCTGAATACACTTGAGTGTTATAGTAAAAGATTTTCATCGTGAAATAATCCATCATCGTACGTTTATCAGCTGTACCTTCAGATTTCATAGAAAACTAAATTCTAAACTCAATAACTGAATGATAGTTTGTCTACTTATTTTTTTATCAGAACCAGAAATAATCTCAATAGGTTACTTAAACGATTAGATTAAACCGCTCTTGAAACCATATGATTTAATTTGGGATTACTATTAAAACATGGGATTACTTGTGCTCACCTACGATCCTACACGAAAGTGAGTAAAGACAGACTTTCAGGTTAGTCATTGGAACTGATGAGTTAGCGTCCAACAATATGATTCCAACTTCAATCAGTTTGAGAGGATTAAGTGCTCGCGCGCGAGACTGATAGATCGTAGGTTGGAATCTTGCAAAGTGGGATCGTGGATGTGTACTTCTGAAGAGTCTCACGATAGGATGAAACAGCTGTTTAGTTCTTCTAGGTTTTCCATGGTGTTCTATTTTCAGTTGACTCATGATCCAACAATATGATTCCGACTTCAATCAGTTTGAGATGATTTAATAGTTTGTAATGTGTTTGAACTATCATGCTGAATTACCCTTTACTTAATGATTACCTATTCCTATATTAAAAGGCATTTATCACTTATCTAGATATATTTCAGTTAATTAATCATTTTTCCCTTATTTCTCATTTGTTTTCTTCCTCAATATGAAAATAATCTAGCTTTTATTAGCGCCTACACCCTATTTAATCGGTGTTCCAACAGCATTTTATACTGCACGGAAAATTTTTCGTATGCCTAAAGATGTTTGGTTGGCTGATTTGGATACTTGTGAAGTATGTTTAATTGAATTTAATCTTTCTTTTTGTTTTTTGTTTTCGGATTGTTATTTGTGAAAAAATTGTATCTCTACATTTATTTTCTTTTGGTTTTCTTGTTAAAGTTATATAAGAGGGGCTCCGTGTCTATTTCTAGTCCTAGTGAGAAGCAGTGACCAGTGGAGTTCAACGGGGCCAGTTGTGAGATAGTAACTCACTGATGACAATGGTAGATGTGTCGCTCAATTTCGTGGATTAGTTGAAGTTAAACATTAACACCGTTGGATTCCGGCTCTGTGGTATAGTGGTTAAGCACTCACGCGCGAGACTGATAGGTCCTGGGTTCAAATCTCATGAGGCACAGTCGTGGATGTGTACTGCTGAGGAGTTCCACAATAAGACGAAACGGCCGTCCAGTGCTTACAGGTTTTCTATGGTTTTCTAGCTCCAATTGATTCATGATCTCAACTACTGAAATTGCCGGAATCTCCACAAAACCCCTTCTGATGCTAACCGGTTAAACCTTTAGCCATAATCGATGTTTTATGCTTGAAAAAATGTTTCTTTTAATCTGTTGTTGTCCACTTATCAAATAAGAATTTCAAATTGAAATGAAACAACTTGGATGAGTATTATAAGGGTTTTATAGAGATTTTTGAATTTTGTAGTTGACTGGGCTTCGCTTTAAGTCAATCAAGGCTAGGAAGCACTAAACAGCTGTTTTGTTCTAGTTTAGTATACCTCACCAGTGCACAGTTATGCTCTCATTCTCGGGTATCAAATCCAGAACCTACTGTCCTGTGTATGAGCGCTAAATTTCTGGAGATCACTGGGTAGCGGCCCAGTGGTTTACACTTTTAACATCGATTACATCCTTATTAGTGACTAGGATCAGGAGGTGATCTCGGAGTTTTAGTGGGAACCGGTGACGAGTGGAATTTAGTCATGTTAAGTTTTAGGCAATTACTTACCAATTATATCGGAAGGTGATTGCACAATATATCAATGGGATTGGAATGCTTACATACCAATTGGGTGCTTGATAATAATACTCATTGTTATTTCGAAATCTTTCATTAACTGTAATGAAAACGTTTTTGATTATATATATCTTGGATCCATTCAGTTTCGTGTGGTTTCGTTTTTCTGAAAAACAGTGACTGGTTCGTTTCAGTCACACATATTCCTGTTATTTGGTCTTGTGTAGAATAGGCGGTTTGTAGCTAGTGGTGTAATCAAAGATGCCGATTTTCTTCTATTTGTGGCTCATCAGCCGTATATACTTGCTCCCCCATAGTATTGAGGTTGAGAATGAGACTCGAACTCATTGTTCTTTCACTTCAGCTTTACAGTTTACTATCTGTGTTTTTCAAAACCTTAAAAACCACATTAAGGTTAATCATCGGGAAACTGATACTTTGTCACTGTTTTTCATCTTTTAGTCTTTCCAAGTCCTTGACTTTGTCACCGAATGAATAGTTCCACAATAGTTGAGTGCTGGGTTTGCGGAATACATTAGTAAAGAAAATGCCAATTGTTAGAATTTCATCAATTAAAATTAACGATAATTTTGGCGTTCCGCTCGGGAGTCTGGTGTAAGATCTCTCAGAGAATTACTCAAATATCAAAATTATGAAACATGAATAAGGATTCATTATAAAAGCTGTATCAAATGAAATAGTTTTTCATATATTGGACATAAATTTGGTACTACTAAGTAGTTAATAAAAATAGATTATCTTAATACCTTTTTGTTAAATAGTATTAAGGCTATATCTAATGAAAGTTGTTTTATTGAGTGAATGAACAAAAATCAGTCAATCTTATTTATTTTCATTTATTTATTTTAACAGATATCGGTACAAGGAGGCACCAAATATATATGCACTACACAAATCTCTTTTGATATGTGTGAGGGCTGTGATACTGCCCGGGTGCCCAAACCGAAGCAGGTGGCTTTCTTAGGGGGCCACACCCCGAGCCTTCGACCTGAAGGTCTGATCCACAAGGCAATCGAGCAACGTCGAGAGGTGCAGTCCTATGGGAGCCGGTGATCACCAATTGGTTCATACACCATTTGTTCCTTCAGGATACTGGAGCCGATGTGCACCATTGGTTTGTAATCAGGGTTTTCCAACTCCCCTAGGTGGACTCTCTATGTCCGCCAACCCGGTTAAAGCGCCGGACATTCGCTTTTTGTTCTCTCAATTTCGTGAACAACACCCCCATCATGAGAAAGCAATGAGTAGGACTTCCCTGGTACATGCTGTATACGCGTGGCCATGTGAGAGCGTTTCGAGAGGGAGAGCGGACTCTCCCCACTTTCGGCCATACCAGGGCATTTGAGGGCACAATCAGTTAGTCAATCAGTAACAACGTAGAACTTGGTACGTATGTACATCAGTTCGTGTTGCCATGCCACATTAGCACAGGGATGCAGTTGTCGATTGAAACCCCATAGTGGTAGAGGTAGTAAGAATGTAAGCAGTAATCGGAAAGATTAGGGTTTGAAGATGTTATTCAAGGAGTATAATAAAGTGAAACAAATTTAGAAAGGGAAAAAAGTGACACGAAGAATTTAGAAGATTAGAATTTGGGAGAACACAAAGAGTGGATACACCTGCGCCATTGCAAACTATTTTGAGACATAACATTCAAAGCATCTCACCATCGGTTGATATCGTCTCGCGGAACCCAATCAGGTAGTCTACACCTACTGAAATGGTACAGTCCACTTGTCAGTGACTTCATGGATTTGTGCAGTGTTTTGGTCTGGCTGCCCCCAGCTTTCTTCCAAGCTACTCCTACCATATAAAACATTGCACGTCGGGGCAGTCGGTGGTTGGGCATACTGACTGCCCCATCAGCATATGCAAAGTGATTCATTCAGATCTTAATGAGTAATACATAGGCTCAAATGTCTATTCTGTATTTTATTGTCAATGTGAAGTATTATTTATAACTCTTGAAATGTACATAAATAATTGAATTTTATTAATAAACCAGTTGATGATAAAATACAGTTTATAAGCTTCAATCATTATGGTGAATGAGAATTGTCAACATTTTTTGTTCATATTCCATTTCAGTTATCTTATCCTATGGTGGTCGATGAAATACCAGAGTTACCTGAAATAGAAAGTAACATTCTTATTAATCATTTAAAAAAGGTACGTGCATATTATAGTTATTTTAATGGTTGAAATCATGAGTCAATTGAAGCTAGACCACCATGGAAAACCTGGATGCTGGCTCAGTGGCCTAGTGGTTAAGCGCTCACGCGCGAGACTGTTAAGTCCTGGGTTCGAATCTCACGAGGCGAGATCGTGGATATGCGCTGCTGAGAAGTTCCACAATAGGACGAAACGGCCGTCCAGTGCTTCTAGGCTTTCCATAGTGTTCTAGCTTCATTTGACTCAACCATTAAAAGTACTTGCATTAGATTTTCTTCTATTCTTTTACTGTGAATTTATTTATTTTCTATGTGTAAACAATTTTTAGTGACAATCATTGACAAAAGTATTATTTCAACTATGATAGGTTTTCAGTAAACAGTTTGTTTCTTTTTTTAGCCATCAATGCTTACAGCCAACATGCATTACGACTGACTAATTTTCTTAGTTTTTTCAAAAAAAGAACGTAATAGGTTAGTGTGATCTGTTATTCGACCCTCTTTTATGTAGTCTTCCCACTAATGATCAAAGTTTGGGATCAGAATTGAATAAAACTATTATTCGTAAGGGGCTAAAGATTCAAATCACTTTTAGTCTCCAGTAAAAGCTGGAAGCCGATACATTTATGTTCTTCCTTAACCTGATTGATCAATCGCTTATAATTATGATCGATTTCACCTTTTCTCCGGGCGCATATATCAAATCAAAGGTACTGGTAAGAGACATCGATAACCTTTGATTTTTCTTCATTGAATTCACATTAGAGGTAGTAAACCTCCTATTATATTTTTGCCTTCCGGTTTCGCTATGAGTTAAAGCATCGAAAGTTTATATGAGCTTAAATGCCTGTTAGGAAGTGTGCATCTCAAATGTTTTAATGTACTAGATGTAACAATATTATCATTATTGTTACTTTTGTTCTAGTTTGTAAACTGTTTTGTTAGGTTGTTTTTTGATGTTTCTGTTGTGTGTATACAAAATTCAATTCTTGATTAGTCAGAGAGCACTGTAGATGTATTGATGCGTAGTTCTGAAGATATTGATACATAACTAATAAAAAGTGAGTTATTAATAACCTTATTGCGGAAATGCGTTAAATTACACAAAAATTAAATTAAAGATCATCATTTATCTGCTTCAACAGATACATCGTTGACTGAATTCTTGGGAAAATAGGGTGTGTATGTGTCAGTTTTATTGTAGAAGCTGTTGATTTTCTAATTGACTTCATCCAAATATTGTTGACTGGTTAGAAAACTGGAATTAAAAACGTCAATCCATTGTGCAATAATAATTTAAGAATTTGTATTTTTTCAGTTGTTGATATTTAGTATCGAATCGATTTATCTCTCAGTTGGAACATCAGCAATTAGGTACAGTTAACGAGTTGTGAATTAAACGAAACCCATTACTTCACACTAAAACTGTCGTACATATAAATTTGATTGCAAGTTTCCAACTATTCATATTATAATCTTATCTTCAAATTCTTTTTTTTTTACAATGGACTTATCAGTTACTTCATGAATTTTCAAGTTCACCTCATATTGATTTGGATTTGGATGATTCTTCGAAACATTGGCCTGTTTCTGTAGCACGTACAACTGCATTTGAGTTATCGAAATTTGATCCTTTATTGTATACACTCACAAAAGATTCTGTTGATGTCGGTATACGTGTATCTATGGTAAGCGGAACTGGTGATAACACTAACGATAATAATGATAATAATATGTGTAGATTTTCCATTAGTATGGCTTTGTAAAGATCTTTTTTGGTATCCCTCGATAAGTTCCTCGATATTCAGGAAAAGGGTGAAAACACTTGGTCCAATATGCATCCATTTTCAATTTCCCAAAATTAATGAGTCATGTACCATAATCTGATTAGATAGTTACTTTCGTTATTATGTTCTACATGCTTTCAAAAGTTTCTATAGGATCATGGTTATACATAAACCTTTAAATACTCTTGATCTTCTGCATATAAAAAAACTGTGAAGTAAAGCTTCAAACTTTTCATCCACTTTTGGGGGCTGCAATGTAAGGAAACTCTGAGGATTTAGGAAGCAACTAAGAAGTTATTATTAAGCTTTTAAATACAAAAATTACTGGTCTAATACAGCTTGAATGATAATGCTATTGTAGACTGTGGTAGAAGTAGATTGAAACCGAAATGTTGAGCCAGTCTATGAAATTACTGATAGTTAATCTGAGGGATGTTAATAGGTGTAGATATGGTGCCTTGATATGGTCGAGGGGGGAGAATCAGCTCTCCCTCTCGAAATGCTCTCACATAACCACACATTTACGGACATTGACTGGGAAGTCCTACTCACTTTCTTCTCGTGTCGGGGGTGTTGTTTACGAAATTGAGAGGACAAAAAGCGAGTGTCGGGGACTTTAACCAGGTCGGTGGATATGGAGAATCTACAGAGGGGTATTGGAAAACCCTGATTTCAAACCAATGGTGCACATGGTCTCCAGTATCATGAAGGAACAAAAAGCGTATGAACCTATTATTGGTCGCCGGGTACCACGGGACTGCATCTCTTTACGTTGCTCTACCGTCTTGTGGATTATTCCTTCGGGTCAAAGGCTCGAGGAGTGGCCCTCCGAGCAATAATCCAGCCCTCATACAAATCAAATGATTTATGAAGTACATATGTATTTAGTGCTTCCTTGTACCAATGTTTCATTCTTTATCGAACCATAATATCAATCAATACATAGTTTGCCTATCATACCTATTATAGTTATTTCGACTCTTCCATATCATTTTGCTGGCATAATTATAAGAACTTAGGCTGACGTATGTTTATCTTATAGTGATCTGCTTTGATTATAACCTGACTGACTTATGACAAATTGGTATCGTTAGATCGACCTCTTTTTAATTGAATTTTGTTGATCTCATCTTTTACTTTTTTTATGAATCATAAGAAATAAGCCTTGTTCTACAAATTTCTTAATAGATCCTGTTTTGTAAACAATTAATTGATTGGCTAATATCATTATTCATTGTTTCCCTCCTGTTTTATAGATTCTCTTCTTCAATACAAACAACATTCTTGGTGGATTTACTAATCATATACGTACTTTACGTTTATTTCCTCGGCCAGTCGTTGCATTTCAGTATGAAAGCTTTATGAAGTCTCGTCCAAAGCCATGTTTGTTCACTAGCATGCTTGCGAAAACTCAGGTATGTACCATTATACAAATCTATATAAATATATTTATTTTTCTGAATGTATTTAAACGGCAGCTATGTAACTGTTTCATACATCATACTATCGCTCCGTATATTTATGACATAAACCATGTTTCAAATACTTGAGCATGCACAATCAGTCGATCAAACTATAAAAGCTTTCGTCAATATGCTTTTACTTAAGTGACTCCGTTTGCTGTTTCAGATCCTTTGTACCTTACCCTCTTCGTAACATGACTCGGTACACTGTCTATCAACATAAGTAGTATGTAACACCAATAAGAAGTGGAAATCCTGGAAGCATAAGGCTATGATAGTCGACTTGAAGAAAACATAATCGGGAATAGAAAAGAATTGCGAATTGGAAGAATCATACAGAATGTAAAGCACAAATGATGGAAGTTTGCAAGTGAAGTGTTCAATATATCGTTCTCATATTTTGCCAAGAGATCCCGTAATTTTGTATTAAATAGTAAATTGGTTGTCCCCACCAGAGTGTTCGTTCATTATAATACTATTCGGTGCCCGAAACCGAAATAAATGAGTTTATGATCTAATTGACTAGAAGCCAATTGTTAAACGTTGCGTATATTTTGGCACTTTTAAACAACCCAACGTTTATTCTGATTCGATTCAGTTTTATGTAGTTGCTTGTTGTTTAATACATTATTTTCAACTCTTCAAGACGAAATCTATGAATGTAATTTTATCATTTGATCTCATATTTTTATTGAGATGGAAGGTTTATAGAGTTTGTTCAGTTTTGAAGATATATTGTTGTTATAACCCTAGAGAACTGATACTTGTTACAAAAAACACCATGTAATTCGCGCGAGTCAAAGAAGAAGCTGAAACTAATAACGGAAGCATATTTTATTCACCTTCCAAAAAACACAACTATCATTTAATAGACTGATTTCGGCTTGGGAACCGTTTAAAATTACTGAAAATTAAATAACTATTTCTTTTTAGCATAGTAATGTTTAATAAGTAACTCATTCACCTGATAATTGTTTATGAACGATACTCAAAGTGTAGGGAGTACTGATATTACTCGGTTGCTGAAATCGAAACAGGCAGGTCGGAGTTCGAACCTGAACTCTACCGCCTGAAATCCGGATGCCCATATTACTGAGATACAGCTCTGATTCTTAGCATAGAACTTAATGGTACCCATCAACGACCTCGTTAGGGATTAGACCAAGTACCGCTTACAAGTTTCGTGATAAACGTATTACCTTTTAAAGACTACAAAATTGATATCAAGTAATATTTCGCATCTAACTTCATCTAAGTTGTCCATCCTTTTTCATATATTATTCTAGGCTGTAGAATATTTTGCTGAATCTTCAATTTGTGCACAGAATGAAGCCTATCAACGTATCTGTTCAGGAGTTTATTCCACAGAATTAATTGGTGATAAGTTATACTGGTATAAAAATCAATTAAAACCAGTGTATTTTGATTGTTGTGACAAATTAATCGATTATGCCAATGTTACAGGTACTAATGCACCCATATCAAATCAATCATCTCCCAGTCTCAAGCTATCCTTATCAAATTCCAACCAGTTAATGTTATTTCAAGCTTTTGAATTAGCAAAACGTATTATAAATAGACGTTGTTCTGGTGATATAAGTACAGAGATTGATACAGATAGCATAAATAATGATACGAATAATTTATCGAGTGATGATCAAACCAATGATTTTATTGGTTAGTATATTGCTTTTGACATTTTTAATATTATGCTTCTTCAGTAAATTTCAATATATCTAGTTTATACTTCATTTAATTCTGATGCAACTACTAATCACCAAATAATGTATAGGCTATAAAAATAAAGGGATAACTTTGTGAAGATATAGAAGAGGGAAGTAGAGTGCCAACAACAACAAAAATAAGTGAGGATGAATGGTATACGATAAGAGAATAGAGTTCAGTTGAAAGCATAACCTAGAAGGGATTTATTTTATCTAGTGTGTTGTCGCTGTTATGTACATATAAACTCTGTTGAGTCTGCAATTTTATTGCTTATATTTGACAATCGGGAACCACTTCAATTCCTAGATCGTACTGCTTACACTTTGAAAAAAGAATCACTTCGATCTTCCACGACGCTAAGTGAGAATACGACATTTGTGCAGTAAAGGTATGTTGACTCTCATAAAATACGTCCCCAAAAAGTTCGAATATCACATCCGTATTAGACCAAAATATGATCATTTATGTACTCACTTTTACATTCAATAATATCGCATGTAGAAAATACATTGAGCTACTGTACAAAACACACTAAATTTAGTTAACCCGAATCTTTACAGGGAATATATCAAGCTAAACGAAAGTCCACACTTGTGGTTTACTAAATGAAATTTGTACTGAATCGACCTTAAAACTTCATGCTGAACAAAGTTTACATGTATCATCCTTGCTGAAGTTCATAATGAGTTGATACTTAAAATATTGGCTTAAATACTGTTATTATATTATCCCGTTATATAAAGTTCTTTCAGTGAACCAGGTTGCTTTCACTTATGTGAAAAATGTTAATGAAATGTACATTCGAATCTTTATGATCTTCTATTTTGACCTATGTCTGATAGCGTCTAAAGTTATTGAAGTTACTGAACATTGTTCATAGATACACAGACCGGCTTGTTGACGTTCAAATGATAACTGCAGTTTAAATTCTAAGATGGTTTAGAATTGCTTAACTTTATGTCTATGTACAGATTACAAATTGAATAAATACGTTAAATAACAATAGAAAGTTGTCACGATCTGCTTGAAAATAAACTAGTATTTTTTAGGTATTCTAGTGAACAAGAACACCGGTGGGGACAATCGAATGTATTTAGCACAAAATTACAGGACTTGATAGTAAAATCTAGCAATCAAGAAGTAAATACGTAATTTGCAAAATGTCCATCACTTGTCTCAAAATGACTCAGACTTCATTGTTCTTGCATTTTCATACAAATTGCATCCTGTTTCTATTCTTTACTGTTCGATCCCCTTGTTTCTCTGCTGCCAGACCTTCTGTTCACGACTAACATCATCTACTACTTATGTCAATATAAGTAACACACACCACAGTATCATTACCAAGGTTTGATTTAATAATATCGAATAAATTGAGCATTGGGTAGATTGTTATAAATAAATAAATATATTTGTAGATATCCCAATCAGTAGAAAAATTAGATTTTCTGACGTTTCGTTACTTAGTGTAAGTCACTTCTTCAGAGAATAAATAACCAAAGTAAGTATTTTATAGTTACAGCTTGGCTTGTGTCTACCTCTTTACACAGTAGGTTTAACCTATAACTTATGGAGAGTTCAGTAAGCTAGTGAACCCAAATACCAATGTATTTGTTAGGTATATAGCTACCTACATAGAACATAGCACGTGTTAGATGCTCATAGCTTGATTTGAATTATAGAGTACACAGTACAGATCGTTTTATCCAATGCTACAGATTTCAGACACGAATTTTGAAAATGAGAAGTATCTACAAACCACTGATATTAAATCATAATCGTTTTCTAATGATTTCTGGCACGTGAGGAAACCGCTGAGTGAAAAATGAGCTTACGCGTAAAACTCTCGCTAATCATTTTTATTACCTGTTTGTGATCTGTTTCTCTCTTGATAATATCTTTCTCTTTCTTAAGGGATGTTCACTACTTCCATTTCTATTTGATTTCGGTACAGACGTTCTATTAACAAAAATAATAATCGCAGTTATGTCCTGACGTTTTGAATGTCTGCCTTGTAGTACTCCTGTATCTACGGCATTCATTTTTTCAATCATATAAGGAAATGAAAAACATAAAATGATAATTGTATTGTGGAAAAATATTGTTAAAAAACAACTATTCATCTTTTTCTATGTCATACGCGTTTTTTCTGTCGCATTTACTACGTGGCTTTCGTTATATGGAATGATGCCATATGATAAATTTGATGCAATTCATTTTCAAAGTACAGAGTTTAATGAAATTAGCCTTTTGCCACACCTTCTATGTGTATGTGTGTGTTTTTGATGTTGTAAGATACAGTCCATTTGCCTAAATCGAAGGGGCTCTAACGAGATAAAATTCTTTCTGTGATTTGTTATTCATATTTTCCAATTAAGCACTTTGAAGCAACCTGATTGAGAGTAAATGTTGTCAAAGTAATATTGTAGTTGACCGAATCCTTTTAAAAATCATGTCTTGTGTTTTTTTCTCTTTCTCAGGTATGTTTAAAACCTATTCCGATGACTCTGACTCAAATCATTCTTATGAAACCGTTGTGTCAAATCGTACATTATCGAAAGAGATGGAAGATTGTATTTCAGTTCAAGCAAATAAACCATTGCCTGATTGTCTAACTGAATTTTACACTCCACCAACAGAGTTAGTTTATAGCAAAGAACCTAATACTACACGTTGTAGTCTATCATTGGAAACTGCCGTAAGTTGCTAAATGTATGTAAACTTAACAACATAAACGATTGTTTTTAATTTTTTTTATTTTTATGAAAAGATATTTGGATTTATCAGTGATTTATTGGTTAGAGTACTCATCTTCCTTCTAACCATTAAATCCCAATTTTAAACTCCATACTTCATGTATTTCGCTTTGGGCAGTCGCATAGTATCACTAGCTCTCATGCAACAAAATTGTACCTTAAAGCCATATATTGGATAAATTAATTAACTTCCATCACATAGACTTCTCACAGTTTCACTTGATATTTTCAAATAAATAGTGCTATTTAGTCCATGGTTGAAAAAGAAAATTGGCTTGTAAAAATGAATGAATATTGGTAACTTTATAATGAACTCCATTTCATAAATAAGTGATTCGGCTATTCTGATATCAATCACAGTTTGTGTTCGCTTTCTCGTCATGCTGTTCATTGACAGATGTATTTCAGCACTGATCATTACCCATACGTGAAAGATGTAATATTGATCAGGTGCCTAATACAAAGGAGATATATTTCTTAAATGTTCATCCTTTAAGTCTTTGACTTTAAGGTTTAGTCCTCATAAATTTAGAATAAAGCTAGGTGATTTACTCCCTTGGTACCTCTTTTTTTAACAAACAGGCTCTCGATGTGAATACATTCAGCCTGCATGACATTGGGTAGAGACTCAGTGACCGATTAGTTTGCATTGTTTAAAGCTTAACAATGTTAGCTGATTATCGTTTTCTTATCCGATTACATTTTCATCACTGATTCTGAATTAAGTGTTTATGAAGTGGAAAAATGTTTTGAATATGAATATGAGTTTTATTTATCATCCCCCTTTTTTTATTTAGGAAAGTACATTGTCGAATTTCTGGAAGTGAGTTCGTGTATATTATTCTATATAATTTTAAATGAAAAATGTATCATGAAACGAGTTCTGGATATCATGATTGTTGTCTTTCGTGAATATTTTTTCCTGAGATACAGTTTTTGATGTTATTGCACATATGATTGTGTCTTGGGTAAATGGTTCACCTTTAAAATGCGCTTCAAGTGAAAACATAAATAAGATCAGTTTCCTTCAGTCATTAAAACGTTTCTACAGAATATGCAAGAATAAAGAGCACCAGTGTCATGGATCGTCTAGGATCACTGGTTTACCACTTAGTCTTAGCTTCTTCAAATAATGCTAGGCATTTAAAGTGTTATGGCTACGTCCATGAGGCTTTCTATAGCTAACAAACCTGTTTTTAAGAAATACTTTATTTTCAAACATATTCCTTCTCCATATCATTCATGGCTTTTCAATTAAATTGTTCAACTACAACACTTTTACCGAATGATATTTATATTCAAGCTGAAAGTGATCTTTGACAACGTAGTTTGTGGTTAGCTACGCTTTAAAACTGTCCAACAGTACAAACAGTCTTATTCAATAATGGTGACTGTTGATTTGTGTATTAATCACACCTAAATAGAACTTTATACTTAATGGAACCTCGCTGTTTGACAGCTGTTCCTAGAACCCACAGACGATATTACTTGTACTCTCAATCATGGATCCTAAATTTCTTGATCGTTTGGGCAAGCTTATTTGTTGATACATTGAGTCAGATAAAGAAGACAGTTGTGAACCCAGTTTAAACATTTATTGTAACAGTATAATATTAGAGAAATTAGCTTGCCTGGTTGATTTTGGTTTTTCTTAAATGCTGATAATATTTACACCAATTATTCAATGATAGTCTATAACATCAACGGAAAGATTCAAATAACTAATAAAAATGAATTAACATTAATAGTTTTCTAATGTTTGGTTGAAAAAGAAAACAGTCATATACATCGATTAAGAACTCCGTAATATCAATAGTTGATTTCATGAGTCATTTGAAACTAGAACACCATGGGAAACCTGAAAACAAATGTTGGCCGTTTCGTCCGATTGCGAGACTCCTCAGCAGTACTCATCCACGATCACGCCTCGCGAGATCCGAACCCAGGACTTATCAGTTTCACGCGTGAGCACCTAACCACTAGGTCACTAATCTGGTATCCAATGTTGTTAATATCTAGCTTCAACCAATTCACGAAATTGAGCGACACATCCACCATTGTCTTCAGTGAGTTTCTATCTCCACTGGTCACTGCTTCTCACTAACACTCCATGAAATACCTTTTGAAGCCAGTTATTACTGAATATATGCTGAATCTAATTCCATAATAGTTCATCGAATAGTTACTGTGATAATTGTAGTCATTGTTTGAAAGAACCTTTGGATTCTCTATTAATAAGTTTACCGAATTTTTTAACGGAAGAATTTTGATATTGTCAAATAAATAACATCAGTCAGTCAACTACAACGTAGGACCAGACGCATATATACATCGGTCCAAGTTGCTATACCTCATTAACACCACAAGATGAAGGCCGGATTCATAAAAGTAGTTAATTCAGTGGTAAATAAAAAAAGATTGCATATCCGGACATAGTACAGGAAGAAAGAAAGATATGAAGTGATTTTAATCTCATAGTTTAAGGGAAGACAGAGAGTGTATACATCTACACCATTTTGATTGATTCTAAGCCATAACACCGAGAGTCTCCAAACACTGGTTACGATAGTCTCGCGGACCTCAACCATGTAGTCTGCATCTACCAACATAATACTTATTTCTTTTTAGTTATCTGCGATGTTAGTTGATGATATACAATAAAAAAATAATTGCTTGTTGAAACATGATTAGTTTGTCGTATTTTTGTGCTTATTTATTTGATTTTCTTTCTGGCATACAGATATACACTTTTTTTCAGTCATTTTTTTCTACGTTAGTATAAATGTATGTACATGTGGTGTTTGACAAGCTTATAACGTATAATGTTAATTGTGTTTATAGTTTATAAACTTGATCTTAATAATTATGAATAATGATTTCCAATGTCATATTGGTATGGATTCCAAAATGATTGATCGTATTGTTTAGGAGTCGTATATCATTATCATCGCCCCCAAACGCCCTGGTATGGCCGAGAGGGGGGTAAGCCCGCCCGCCCCCTCGAAATGCTCTCACACAGCCACGCGTATACCGCCTCTGCCAGGGAAGTCCTACTCATTGCCTTCTCGTGACGGGGGTGCTGTTTAGGAAATTAAGAGGACGAAAAGCGAATGTCCGGCTCTTTAACCGGATCCCAAACCAATGGTGCACATGGGCTCCAGTATCCTGAAGGAATAAATGGCGTGTGAATTAATAGTTGGTCACCGGCTACCATGGGACTGCATCTCCTCACGATGCTCTACTGCCTTGTGGATCAGACCTTCAGGTCAAAGGCTTGGGATGTGGCTCCCTAAGAAAACCACCTGCTTCGGTTTAGGCACCTGGACAGTATCACAGCCCACACATAAATATGGTGTGGCGAATATATATTTGGTGCCCTCTTATACCAATATTTATGTGTTCAAATAAATAAATTAAAATAATCATTATCATCATTTTAACTTGAGATAACATTAATAAAGTCAATAGATCAAAGTTGTATTTGAATTTAGCATGTTTACGTTTCTTTCTGTAATGAAATTGATAAAGTATGGAAATCCACTAAGTTATGTAATTAATAAAAATAGTTGTCTGGGTTGGTTGTTTATTTAATTAATTGAGGATATTGATTGATAAAAAGTCTCATATCGGCTGACATTTTTCTCTCTAAACTAGAAAACGACCCACTGGCACAACAAATCGACAATTTTTCATTTTACTGCCGATATATGGATGATACATTTATCCTTTGTAACAACCATATGGACTTCATAGAAACACTCGAGCGTTCCAATACAGTTCACCCGTCCATAAAATTCCCATGTGAGATTTAAGATGGGTGGGGATAGAATAGCCTTTCTAGATGTTCTACTTACAAGAAAAAAAGATGGGTCACTAAGAAGAAACATAAACAAGAAAACTACGTCGACGGGCAAATATACAAACTTCCTTAGTTTTAAAGAGGAAGAATGTATTTATAAAATCTCAGCGAAAGAATTTATTATTATTATCCTTATCATTGTTACTATTATTACATTTGATAACCTCTTTGAGGTATTTACTGAGCATCCACCCCTATCTACTATATCTGACCTAATTCATATTATTCTACATATTATGTAATTTCTGACATTTATCCCGTTATTTTCTTTCTCACCCCATGTTGACCATATTTATTGTGATCATTATTTATCTCACAATTTCATTTCACTTATAAACTGATTCAAGTCCCACAATAGGACGAAATGGCTGTCCAATGCTTCCAGGTTTTCCATGATGATCTAGCTTCAATTAACTCATGATTTCAACTATTGAAATTACTACAATCTCCACAAAACCCCTTTTGATATTTCATATTAGTCAACCTCAACATTAACTATTTGATTTAATTTTATATGACAAACAACAATCCTTAATTCACATGTTATGATGTTAAATGATGTACTCTACTTTAAATTTGGGCGATTTTATGGATTATTAATTTGGATATGAGATGATTGTAGAGTACCTAATGAGAAATTCATTGAAGTGAATATTCTTCGTTCATATAATTGTGTTTTAATAAAAGATGTTCCGTGTTCTTTGAGGAAATAGTTTTTCTTTAAATTGTGGTATCATTTCATAGTGTCATTGGCTGTTTTTCTTAGCCTTATCAATTGATACATGGGACATGTGTTACTTATGTCCAACCACCACTTATGTCAACGAGAGATGTCTAGTGTGAGAGTGGCTTGGAATATTACTGTCAAGCGGCCAAAAAAACATGGCATCGGTTCATGAATTCACTGACAATTGGAATTAGCCATAGAAATAGTTATAGACTACTTGATTGGGGTCCGCGTGGTTATCGTAACCAATGATTAGAGACTTTAAATGACATAGCTCGAAATAGTTTACAATGGCGCAGGTGCATTCATCTTTTGTCTTCCCTCAAATCCTGAGATTCTTAATTCCCCATATTTTTTTCTCTTTTTATTTCGTTAATTCATATTTTCTGGATAACGTTACTAACTCTACTATTCTGGGATCTGGCCTAGCAACTTCATATTTCGATACTAATGTGGTATGGCAACTTGAATCGATGTACATACCTACCAGGTTTTACGTTGTCACTGACTATTAGTTAATACAAACTACCCGGTTAACGTGTGGATACATTCACTCTTTGTTTTTTTTGTGGATCCGGAGTTATTATATTCCTTCATACATACCTTTTCATTCCTTTCTTCTCGAACCATATTTTCAATATTTAGTCTCTCGCTCTTAATATCATTGGTGCTACAGTTATTTAGAATTATTTGTTATTCATCTTGTTTTGATAACGTGGTTTGATAACTCTGACTAAAGTACTGAATAGTCGACTTAATATTATTTAATTAGATTATATCAATTTATTAATAAATATGTCAATTTCAGTTACCGCCTATATTTTTCAATGTCCCATACTTGCTTAATTACGCCTGTTACTCCTCGTGAAGGAGCATAGGCCAACCACCAGCACTCTACATCCGACCCTGTCTCAAGCATTCCTTTTCAGCTCTTCCCAGTTGTTATTCATTCTTTTCACATCTGTTTCTATTTCCAGACGTAATGTGTTCTTTGGCCTTCCACTCTTCCGCTTCCCTCCAGGATCAGAAGTTAGGGCTTGTCTCGCGATGCATTTTGATGATTTCCGTAATGTATATCCTATCCATTTTTATCGTCTTTTCCTAATTTCCTCTTCAGCCGGAAACTGGTTTGTTCTCTCCCACAGTAAGTTGTTGCTGATGGCATCCGGCCGATGAATATGTGATTGTGATATTGTGTAGAAAACTATTTATAAATACTTGTACCTTCTTGATTATGGTTGTAGTAGTTCTCCGCGTCTCAACTCCGCGCATTAGAACTGTCTTAACATTCGTATTGAAGATCCTGTCTTTGATATTGTTTGATAGACAGTTGTTTTGCGTTCCATATATTCTTTAATTGTAGGAATGCGGCCATTGCTTTGTCAATCCTCACTTTTACGTCTGCATCAGATCCTCCTTGTTCATCAATGAATGTTCAATATCTTCTTTAATTCTGATCTGTTTATTTTTAACTGTTGTTTTTTTATGTATATATTTAGTCAATCTACTGTGATATCGTCCGATTCCAGGAATATTAATGAACAACTGATAAATACGGTAGGATATAAGTTTTTTTAAAGAAAAATACTCAGATAATTTTTAATAGTTATGTATTCCAATACGTTATTTGTTCAGCTGTTTATTTTGTCTATGTTTGAATAGGGGTAGGTTATGTAAAAAATAAGTAAATTAATCAATTCATTCAACTGGTACTTGGATATATGCAGCACCCTAAGTGTAAGGATTCTCAAAATTAATGGGAATAAACCTTCAAATAGTTACTGATCTGGTAAATAAAACTAAAAAATAATGGATTGTATATTGATCCGATTTTAGTTTATGTGTGTTTTTGTTCTGGTGTTGACTTTTGTTTGAATGAATTTCATAATTAATCGTCGTCAGATCCTTCATTTTTGTAATTTATTTTACTACTTTAATGTTAAGTAGTTTCGAAGGTACGTTTGCTTCTAAAGACATCGTATGCTGACTGTATGATAGGTGGATTTGAAACAATTAATACAGTTTTATCCTCTAATTAATAGTCATAAATCCGGTTTTACAGCTAACTGATGACTGTTCAGTTTTATAGAATAGATGGAATGTGGCTGGTAGTGAAATCCGAGGCGCACGTTTTGTCTTCTTTGGTAATTGTCAGTTAGATGTGCCTACATCTTAGAGTTAACGTCCACTTCGGGACTTAAGCTCAGCACTATTCGCAACGAGCTCTAACGTGCTATGCTCTTAGCTACGGATTACAGATGGGTATGGATTTTGATTTATTAATAGTAGTTCGCATTACCAACGACGGGATAATGCAAATCAGTGAAATTAAATAGAATCTGAACCTACTAAGTTACGTTAATTGTTTTTAGAAAACCCATCAATATTTTGTATTCTTATTTAAATGGTTCCATAAACCAAGACGATTTGTTACTTCTTTTTTCTAGTTATTGTTTTAATATGATATTTTCATCTAAGTACTTCTACCAAAGTTTCTATCCCTTTTTTATTTATAGAACACTGGAATACAGTCTTTAGGAGTTCCTAATTCAGGAAGTGGTACGCTAACTAGATCGTCATCAATTTCATCGAGACGTTCAACAAACGATACTTTACATCTTGTATCTCGTTTATCCTCCTCTATTTTTGTAGGCAATGGTAATGATTCGAAAAAAACCTCTACAGTAACATCAAATAGTTTTGGTGATGATAATTTGAGTTGGGATACATCTGTTACTTTATTATTTGGTGATTTGTTAAAATCAAGTTAGTTATGTCAATTATTCCTCAAAAAGATCAGTCTTTTGTAGGATTTTTCATTTGTTTATTTGTTTTAATAAATTAAAAATTGTATGGTAATTTCATTGAAAAAGATGTCAGTCAGTAACAACGTAGAACTTCGTACGTACGTATATCAGTTCTAGTTGCCACACCACATCAGCACAGAGATGCAGTTGTCGACTCGAATTCCGTAGTTGTTGAGGTAGTAAGAGCATAAGCAGTAATCGGAAACATTAGGGCTTGAAGATGTTATTCAAGGAGTATAATTCAGTGAAATAATGTTTGGAAAGAAAATAAGGAACATGAAGAATCCAGAAGATTAGAATTTGGGAGAACACAAAGAGTAGATGCACTTGCGCCGTTGCAAACGATTTTGAGCCATGTCAACATCTGAACAAGATGTTGATAAGAACAAATAACAATGGAAACTCTTAAATCGATATTAGTTATGTAATGAGTATTTTTAAGGGTTGGAAACATTTTATGATTAGTCGGTATAGTAGTGTTAATAAAGACTAATCACTATTCAGTAGTTTGGCGAATAACGCTTTTATTTGTAGTATAATAAATGTTAAGTTTTTGTGTCTTAGTGTGAATATTAGCATAGGAATTCAGTAATATCTATCGGCGGATGAATTCTGGACAGATGGGAACATGCATCCTGGATCTCATTGTTAGTCACAAGCCAAGTATACTTAAAATCCGGATGTCTTCTTTGAGCTGATTACATATTTTTCAAAAGTGTGTGAAGTACATGTCTCACTGCATAATTATGTTAAAATAACACTATCCTACCGTATCTAATTGTGCAAATTATTTATTTATATATAAATTGAAACAATTATAACCTTTGAAAATTCCCACTAAGTATTTCTATTTCACACAGGCGAGACTATAATTTATGGACGAACGAATCATGTATAAGATAGTAGGTTTCGGATTTTGGCGCGAAACTCACTCATCCATGTGGCTAAATAGATTCATGGAATTATAGCTGGTGTCAGTTTGTGATGAAAAACCGAAATCTAATTCCTAACCTTAACCATCAACTGTAAATCCTAATTCTAATTCTTCACATTCGTTTATAACCCTCATTTGGTCGTGGTTATTAGGTGGACACTCAGAAAGTCACTTTAGCGTCACTCAAAGGTTGTCCATAGATGATAGCTGGGAAGTTTTTCGCTTGTTATAAACTGATCTTATATACATCTGTTGGTAGATTGGGCGGTTTACAAAGATCAGTAATAAAAGATATGTACTTCTGATCCCCACACTAATTGAAGAATGTTCAGCTGAATAATTAAATCAGTGATAAAGTTTTTGATAGTCGCAGATATAGTTCATTTATCTTCTTTGTCTTTTTCAATCTTTATAGACCGTCTTCGAAGTTTAGCATTTAAAGATGTTCCTCTTTCTGCTTTACAAATGCATAAAAAACGGTCAGTATCTTGCTAATTTTTGGTTTGTATATTCGGTGACATTTTTTTAATTTTTAAATCACAGGATTTGAAATATTGCTCCTCAAATGTTTAAGCTCCTTTTGAAATACTTCAGTCTCAGTGGGATAGACATTAAAAACACTAAAATTTTGCGTCTCTTCGTCACAAAACTCTGTGGGATGGAAAATGACGCAAAACAATTTAGGATCTTATACAATTCTATATAAATCATGGACGAAGATCATTGGTTCGTTCCCGGTTTCAGAATTGTGAATGCGGATTGCTTAGGAGGTTTTCTGACTAAGCAGACAACCAGTCATTATCATTTTCACCCACACATCAGTATTTTAATGGTGCAGACTTCAGTGCAATAGTTTTGAGCTCAATTATGATTATTTTGAATAATTTCTAGATGGCAATGACGGCCTTTGAAGCGGAAGGTAGAGTTCGAGTCCCGGAGTGAATATTAACTCTGGGATGCAGAAACATCCAGTTAACGAGTCACAAATAGCATTCCACTGTTAGCTGCCACCCATATCTGCTCAAAATGAAAGTAGGTTTGTTTTAGTCTTAGGCAAGTGAACTGAATCTAATAAGTAAATAAATGTACATCATTACATCATGATTGTTATTTGTGCTTGATTGAATTTGATCAGGTTGAAAGAATAACATGAAATTTCTCTAAAGACGAATAACACTACATAAAACCCCTTATTATTCAATAAAAATATATTTAGCGCCCTCAAATGCTCTGGTACCCCGATGGTGGGGAGAGTCAGCTCTCCCTCTCAAAATGTTCTCCTATGGCTATACATATACATCCACCGACATGGAAGTCTTACCCATTGCATTCTCGTGGTGAATGTATTGTTTACGAAATCGAGAGGATGAAAAGAGAATGTCCGACGCTTTGCTGGGTATGAAGGATACACATGAGGGAAGTGAGAAACCTTGATTCCAAACCAATAGTACACACGAACTCCAGGATTCTGATGGAACAAATGGCGTATGAACGTATTGTTGGTCTCTGGCTACCATGTTGCTCCAATGCCTTGTGAATTAGACATTTAAGTCGAACGCTCCGGGTGTGGCCTCTTAAGAAAACCACCTGCTTCGATCTGGGCAGTATCACAACCGACACACAAATCATATGTATTCGGTATCATTATTCGTGTGTTAAAACAAATAATAAATCACAGTGTATCATCATTCGCTCATTTTTACTTGTTTGTTCAGATTGGAAAATGAACGTACAATAATCGATTTATCAAAATCCATTAAACAAGGTCGAATACCAAATATATTTTCACGTAATCAAATTAACACATTATTACAAGATGAGAATTATCGAAATCTATTAATTGCTCGTATAAATGATAATCTCTCAAAAGATGTCCTACCAAATCAATTGCATATTGATAATGTGGTAAGTATGATGATTTTCTTTCATGCTAATCTTCATTCGATTGTAATAACGCGATGGCGTTTGAAGCGAACGGTACTGGGATCTAGTCCCAGAGTGAACATCAACTCCGAGATGCAGGTACATTCAGCTGATGAGTCTCAAAAAGGACGAAATGCGCATCCTGGATTCCACTCCTAACCAATATCTATCTTTGCATATAAAGATACACGTGTGTAGAAAATCTAATTCCATTAGTGACAAATCAATTAGTACATTGAATAAGATATTTACAAACATTCGAAACGACTGAATATTACAGTAGCACTTTTACTGGAGAAAAAGACTATTTACCTATTTCCACAACTCGATCAAAATGTGTCATGAAAATTGTCGTAAATCAACAAAGTATTTTACGAACCATTCTAATCGGCATGCTTTACAAGCTAACACAATCCCTTCACTTTATTGTATTCAAATGGAAGGATAAAACAATGTCATAATTTACTTAGTAAATTGTACGAGAAACCATATAGTACGATATGGGACGCCCTTCTGCATAGGTGCACACGAGCATAGATTATTCTTTAGATGACACAATGCATCGTCAACTATATCAATGAATGCAGACAACTATGGATGTGAATTTGACAGAAAAATTGTTACGATAATGAATTTAGAAAATCTTAAAACTGTTAAAGTTTCTAAAGAATACTAAATCAATAGAGATGCTGATACAAATTGGGTGTAACAATCAACTAATCAAACTATCAGAAGGTAAACCTATAAAGTAGTTAACTAAATTGGAAAGGTGCATGTTGTCTAAAAAGATAACTAACCATGAATATAATTAACATAAAGAGCCTTCATAGGTTAACTCCAAATCATCATTCCCATTTGAGCAAGATGCCAATCATGTTGTATAGGATAATAATAAATAATTCCAGATTATAGAATTCACTACCACTGAAAACTTTGGTTTTTCAGATTAACTTGTGACCAATGTGTTCAATTTGTCATTTATTTATTCGCCTTGTTTCTTTTAATTTCTGTCTTCGATTAGCCTATTCAACAGTGGGATCAATATAAAGCAATTTTATGGACGCTTAAACAAATGATCAATGGTTTAGAATATAGTTTTCGACCGGATATTGTATTCCCAACTACAAATCAATATGATCGCATTACTAGAGATAAATCACCATCGTCAAATATTCCAAATCCATTGAGTAACACTAGTTGGTTATCCTATTCTACTGGTATTTTAAAAAGTGGTGGTTTGGCGTCGGCGTTTATGCTTATGGAAGTTGCACATACACATTTCTATCGGTTGCCTAATCGAACAGGTCACATAGATAATAATCATGATGAAAAATTCTTTTGGAATAGCATGCCAACTACACCCACAACGGAATTGAGGTCACCTATACCAGGAAGAAGATTAGTTGGTAATGATATTTCTTCAGTTCGATATCAAGTAAGCCGATTAATCATTTTTCTAAGAATGGAATGTATTAAATGTGGAAGTATTTTTCATTCATAGATATCTAGTAAAATTATCGGCGATACTATAATTGATGAACGACCTTTGAACTAATTGTAAGTCACCCTGAGGAATTTCAGCCAGTCAGGAAACAGTCTATATGGAGTGAAAATATACAAAAACCAACAAAAAAATTAGAGTGAATACACTTCGTTAACATTGTTTAAAAACTTTACAAGGTTAAAAGAGACTTTGCAGTTGTGAAATCGTAATGCATGCGGTACAGGAATTTATTCATGGGACTACATAATAATCGAACTCTGGAGCCATAATAAGGTCGCGAAAATTATTTTAGCCTGTACTACATTGCTTCTATTTATTGATATGTACTCCCGTGATGGGTTCACAAAATGTCTCTTGTGAACGACGATATGATCTACGTAACCAATTCTCGATAGTCATCGGTATGCTCTCCAGTCATTTGTATATATTGTGGTACCCGGTTGCACTTACCCTCGTATAATTGGTATCATAGTTGTAGCTTATCGGTTTCTCTTGCCCTGGAAGTGTTTTTTTAAAAATATATGATCCATCATATATATCAAGGAACTGCTACCTAACCAGTCTTCTTATCACTTATTCCTCTATTGAGTTTGCGTTTTTTAACGATTATTTCGTCGATTTCTACGACTCTCCTGATTCCTTCAAAGGACTGGTGCAAGCTTATCATTTTCATTGCACATATACCTCTACAGTGTTCATACCATTGAAGTACCGATGCTTCAGTACCGATAGATCCTGGATTTGAATCTCACGAGGAGGGATCGTCGATGCGCACTGTTGAAGTCTCACAATATGACGAAAGGGCCCTCCAGTGCTTTCAGGTTTTCCAGGGTGTTCTAAATTCAATTGACTCATGATCTCTACTACTAAAAGTACGATAATATGCCCAAAACTCATTCTAATAATAATAAAAACGGTATTTTTTCTTTTAACCAATAAACAGGTGGTATTGTAAGTCACTTTGACAACGTATTATATTTAATGATTAGTAATGAAACACATGATTATTTATTGAACATAAATATGAAATCAACACATGACTTAATGAAAAATCACGTTGTTTTTTTGTCTTCTCTTTATATATCAAACACCAAATTGTGTGTAAATAGGAAATGAGAAATCTATTTAGTTACTTGTGATACAGTTTTAGTTAATGGCTATTGGATTATTATCATTATTATATTATATTATATTATATTGAAGCCTTTGAAAGTGCATCGACCACATATTCACCATTCGTCAGGTTCTAGAACACAATCATACTTATCGGTGTCCAACAATGATGGTCTTTCTTGACTTGAAAGCAGCATTTGACTCGGTGGACCGCAAGATTCTGTGGCAGTGTCTGTCATTGAAAGGCGTACATCAGAAGTACATAAACCTTGTGAAGGCTCTTTACTCGAACACTACCAGTCGAGTCAGAGTTTATGGCGAACTGTCATCTGTTTTTGCAACCTCAAGTGGTGTCCATCAAGGCTGCCCACTTTCTCCATTTTTATTTAACTTCATCATAGACCTACTGATGGAAATAACATTTTCGTTGACTGAATTCTCGGGTATTGATCTCCTTCCAGGAGGTTTACTTATCGACTTAGAATACGCAGATGACATAGTCCTGTTTGGTGAAGACGCTGATAAAATGCAGAGTCTTTTTGGTAGCACTGAGCAACAATGCCAGAATGTTTGGAATGCGCTTCTCTCCCTCTAAATGCAAGTTGTTGCTTCAGGACTGGTGTGTGTCAATACATGAATTAAGAATAGGGAGTGAAGTAGTCGAACGTGTTGACAACTTCACATATCTTTGAAGTCATATCAGCCCTAATGGGTTGGTTTCTGAAGAAATCTCAGCATGGATTCGAAAAGCTCGTTTGACTTTTGCCAACTTACGTCACTTATGGCGAAGGCAAGATCAATTCAAGGATGAGTATAATGCGCGGCAGTTCGTTCTGTTCAACTTTACGGCTGCGAAATGTGGCCATTAAGAGTAGAAGACATTCGTAAGCTACTAGCATTTGACCACAGATGTTTTAGAAATACTGTTAACATCTGCTGGAATCACTGGGTAGGTAATATTGAGGTTACACACATAGTATTAGGGAATGGTGTTAAATCAGTTGATGAGGTTGTGATTCTTCATCGACTGAGATGGTTGGGCCACGTGTTGCGTATGCCTGAGCGCCGATTACTACGACGTGCAATGCTAACTAGTGTTGGGAATGGTTGGAAGAAAGTTAGGGGAGGCCGAATAAAAACCTGGCATCAGTGCTTGAAGTCACTAACTTGTAGTCTGAGCCATGTTGATAGATGCAGACTACTTGGTTGGAGTCCGGGTGACTATCGTAACCAATGGTTGGAGACTCTTGGTGACATGGCTGAGAATCGATCACAATGACGTCGGTGTATACACTATTTGCTTCCCTTAAACTAAGAGATTAAAATCGCTTCATATCTTTCATTCTATGAACAAATTCTTTCCTTCTGTACTATATCCTTTTTGCAATCTTTCTTTTATATATTACCACCTCTGAAATTCCTACTTTTATGAATCCGGTGTCCATCTTGTTGTGTTAATGAGGTATGGCGATGTATACATGTGTATATATGTGTGTATATATGTATATATGTGCCTGGTTCTACGTTGTAGTTGACTGACTGACTGAGCCTATGGAAGTGACAGTACTGTCATGGATATTAGATCCTCAACTGGCACCAAAAGCACTCATTTTCACCTTCATGTTGTATTTCTCACTTGGGAGGATCTTAAACGCTTTTGGTTCGTTGTATCTTTTAATATGCTATTTTGTAACGCTTCTCAAGGACATTTTTATTTCTAACTTGGACTTCTCTGTATAGTTAGCTGAGCTGGGACGCGTTGGAATAGGTAGCTTATCTGTGGTTGTGTCACAGAGTCTTTGATCCGTCCTCACATTAGATGAACTCGTAATCACTTCAGACATTGCTAATTCATATATTTGTTAGGATCATAACAATGAACTCATAGCTCTATAGTATGGTTCGAGCTTCTTCAGAGAGATAATCCTATAGTTTGTTTGTAAACTGTTCAAGTTGGATTAAACACTTCATATATATCATTAAACAATCTATTTACGCGTTCTATTTGAGATATTTACACTGATAATTTGATTTATAAACCGCTGACATATAAAACCTACAGTTTCTATTAGTGTGATATCAGTTTGTGATTTTCATTATCGATAGGTACACAACTTTTAAACTGAGAGTGGCAACTTTGTGTAACGCAAGTAAATGTCTATATATTAAATTTTCAGCCGAACTTCATAGTTGTTAATTATTGATTCTACTGGACTGTTGAAACTGAAATAGATGCAGTGGAATTCCAACCTATTCCTTTATAGTTTGTAACAGAGCATGTTAATCTATAATTCAATGCCATCTTAACGGTACAGTGAAATACCAACCATTGGAAATCATCGGGCATGAAACAGCTATTTCGTTCTCGTCTGAGGATCTTTAGTAGTTCTTACACATGAACTTGCATTATGTTAAACCTATGACTATCACAATCAGTAGTTTGTCAGCTGACGTCAGTTCGTGAGCAATTTAGCCAACAGACTGCACAAAACTATTTAACTCATATTGAGAATCATTAGTGCATACAACACATCGTCACTTGCTACAAGCGGTATACTTTCTACAATTATATTTGCAAGTTCACGAGACTATCAGTTTTACTATTTCTTTTTCTATTAACTAGGGAAGAAGTATTCTTCCACTTTGGTGGTAGACAGGAATTGTTAATCGCTCACACACGCAATGCATCATTTCAGCTTACGGAATAGAGTTCTCTGAAGTATTGACGTCATCGAAACTCCCATTCCTGATCCCATACAACATTGAACTTTAAACTCTTAGCTCTCGTTACAGATATACTACTTTTTTCACTTTACCAAAATAAGACATATTTGCTTTCAACGAATGTGACAGACTGCCTGTTTCTGTTTAGTTACAGTTTATAAACCCTGTTCATTTGAAAAGACATTGTATGGTATCATCGTTTAACTATATATTTAAGGGCGAGACTATAATTTATGGATGAACCAATCACGTATAAGATAACAGGTCTCAGATTTTGGCACGAAACTCATCCATTTGGTAAATAGAGTTTTGACACTATAGCTGATGTCAGTACATGATGAAAAACCCTAAATCTAATTCCTAACCTTAATCATCAACTGCAAATTATAATTCTAATTCCTCACATTGGTTTATACCCTCATTTGATCCTGGTTATTAAATGGACACTCTCAGAGTCAGTCTAGCGTCATTCAAAGGTCGTCCATAGATTATAGTCTTACCGATTTAAGTCTTTTAATGGTATTTATAAAATTACTTCACTTATTATTGTGTCAGTTATAATATTATGTTACTATCTGACATTTTGTTCATTCTTTTCCCTTTTCTGATATTTTATTATTAGAATAATCAATTAGATTTATCGGATTGTGAATCATACAGTAGAAAAGGTTCAAAACTAGGTAAGACTATTGTTGTTTGTGTTATATTTCCTTCTATTCTATTCGTTTGTTCGTTTTAAAAAGACGAATGATATTAAAGTATATATATGTATGAAGATTAGATGGTGAATTTTCTTTCTACTTGTTAGTTGTTATCGCAGCACTTTGTGATTATTTGCTCACGGACCAACAGAAATGTTCTCAATGCTAAGGGTAAAAAAAGACATGATATTGGTTACTGTTGAATGTTCTGTTGGTGTAAACATGTTAATAGTACTGGAAGTCTATCTTAGTTCGAATAATTGATCAGATTATTGACTGTTACTACGGATGATCTGTATTTGAATTATGTTACTTTGATACACTTTTCTCTAAACATCCACATACACCTACTGACACAAAATATCATACTATATCAAGATATGGAGTTATTATTTTTAGTCGGTCGATCAAGGACTAAATAAGACATGACATTGATCATCACTTATTAATCAATTAACATAATCTTTATTACCTCGTATCTAAGTGACTGTCACATAGTTTTGTATGATTTCATGCTTGAGTTATTTAACTGCATAGATTCCAACTGTTATTTAGTAATGTTTTTTGTACTTGAAGCGAGAGGTTACATCATATCATTGCATATTTAGACTGATTTTTGATTGATATTTATGATGAAATGTAATTGTATGAACAGTATTTTTATTAAGGCAATTACGCATCATTGTTCTTTTGCCTTTCATTGAACTGAAATAAAACTATTGACTTTAAAAAATATATAGAATCAAATATTTTTTCAGTTCATACAGTCTGTTTTCTTTCTAACATTTGAATTCAGCTTTCATCTCACTATCTCTGCAGTCACAATCTTGAGTGTATTTAAAGTATTCTTAGGCAAGAGGTTTTTACTCAGACGAAATAAACGTGTATATGATATTGGTCGGTAATAATGACTTGTTTGAAAATTCACTTACTTATACTTGTTACTCCTAATGGAGCATAGGCTGCCGAACAAAATTGTCGACCATACTCTGCCTAGGCCTTTCGTTCTAGTTCTTTCTAACTGTTGTTCATTCTTCACATATCTATCTCCATTTCTCGACGTAATATGTTCTTTGGTCTTTTTTGTCTTCTTTTTTGACCTTGAGGATTCCATGTGAGGGCTTGCCATGTGACGCATTTTGGTGCTTTCCTCAATGTGTGTCCTATCCACTTCCAGAGATTCTTCCTGATTTCTTCCTCCACTGGTAGGTGTAGACTACCTAGTTGGAGACAGTGAGATGATAGCAGCAGATGGTTAGAGACCCTGAATGACATGGCTCAAAATCGTTTGCAATGGCGCAGGTGCATACACTCTTTGTGTTCTCCCAAATTCTAATCTCCTGGTTCCTCTTTGTCTCTTTTTTCTCTTCCCAAATTTATTTCAATGGATTATACTCTTACTACCTCTACCACTACGGGATTTGAATCGACAACTGCATCTCTGTGTTCATGTGGTGTGGCAACTCGAACTGATGTACGTACGTACGAAGTTCTACGCTGTTACTGACTGACTGACCTCCACTGGAATCTGGTTTGTTCTCTCCCACAGTACGTTGTTGCTTATAGTGTCCAGTCAACGGATCTGAAGTAGTTTGCGTAGACAACTGTTAATAAACACCTGTATCTTCTGGATGATGGCGTTCGTAGTTCTCCAGGTTTCCGCCTCATACAGTAGAACTGTCTTGACATTCGTATTGAAAATTCTGATCTTGGTGTTGGTTGATAGTTATTTTGAGTTGTAGATGTTCTTCAGTTGTAAGTATGCTGCTCTTGCTTTACCGATCCGCGCCTTCACATCTGCATCAGATCCACCGTGTTCACCAATGATGCTGCCCAAATATGTAAATGTTTTTACATCTTCCAAATATTCGTCAAGTATGATTCGATTGTTGAAAATTCACTAACCCTCTTTTATTATTATTGCTGATAGTGTATGGACCTCTAAATTAACGATCAGTAATTGATTCACACTATCATCTCTTATAAAATTTGTGGAACTCCGAGTTCTGACTAATTTATCAAATACAAATTTATGTACAAAAACTTTAAGTCCTACATTTTATGTATGACCAGCCATTGACACTACTTGGCAAAACAAAACAAAGTAATTGAATTCAGATTCGAATATGTAACCCGGTCTCTGGATGTCAAACCTGCGTGATCTATTTCTATAGATAGATACCGGTACTAGTAGGCACCAAATAGATATGCGTCACACAAATCTCATCCGATATGTGTGAGGACTGTGATACTGGTGGTTTTCTTGGGGGGTCACACCCGGTGCCTTCGATCTGAAGGTCTGATCCTCAAGGGAGTGGAGCATCGTGAGGAGATGCAGTCCCATGTTAGCCGGTGACCAACGATTGGTTCATATGCCATTTGTTCCTTCAGGACACTGGAGCCCATGTGCACTATTGATTTGGAATCAGGGTTTCCCAACTTTCCTAGGTGTACTCTCCGTGTTCACCGACCCGGTTAGAGAGCCGGACATTAGCTTTTTGTCCTCTCAAGTTCCTGAACAACACCCCCGCCACGAGAATGCAATGAGTAGGACTTCCCTGACAGAGGCTATATACTCGTAGCCATATGATGAGAGCATTTTGAGAGGGAGATCTAACTCTTCCCACTCTCGGGCATACCAGGACATTTGGGGGATTGCATGAAATATCTTAATAATTAATTTTAATAATTTTTCAACAATGTCTACTTACGTTTTTTTATTTCTTCTTCCTCTTCTTTAAATTAATTAAGATTAATTAAATTGACGTGTAATTTACCTTATGTATTATCAGCTGATCTTAAAATACTGATTGTCTTCAATTCCTTTCATTCATTATATATATAAATTTATTTGTTTTATTCATTTGTATCATATGAATAAAGGACATATATGATTGACTGATTATATTTGTCCGATAAAATCTTATATTCTTTTGTCGCTTCATTTCGATCATGTAATAGTCACTTGTTTCTAATTCACAAGCTTATGGACTTATAGTAAGTTGATTTGTTAAGGTCACATGCAAGATATATATATATATATATATATATATATATATATATATATATATATATATATATATATATATTCGTTTGTATGTATATATGTGTATATACGTTCAGGTCATGTTCCTAAATAATGAAAGTAGCAATGTTTATTCATCATCTCAACTTAATTATATACTCATCTAGTTGTAACATTTTCAATGGATTGTAGATTATTTATTTATTTATTAAAACGCATAAACATTGATACAAGAAGGCACCAAACAGATATACGCCACATAAATCATTCGATTTATTTGAGGGCTGTGATACTGCACGAGTGCCCAGACCGAAACAAGTGGTTTTCTTAGGGGGTCACACCCTGAGCCCTCGACCTGAAGGCCTGATCCACATGGCATTGGAGTAACGTCACAAGATGTCGTTTCATGATAACCGGTGATCAACAATAGGTTTCCGTCAGGATCCTGGAGTCCATGTACGTCGATTGTTTGGAATAAGGGTTTCCGACTCTCCTCTGTAGATCCTCCGTATCCACCAACCCGGTTAAGGTGCTGTACATTTGCTTTTCGTTCCCTCAATTTCGTAAAAAACACTAGTGGTGCGACAAGACAGTGAGTAGGATTTCCCTGGCAGTGGTTTTATGCACGTGGCCATGTGAGAACATTTCAAGAGGGATAGCGGACTCTCCCCACTCTCGACCGTACCAGAGAATATGGGGGCTAGTGTAGATAATAGTGATTTTATTATTATTATTATTATTATTATTATTATTATTATTATTATTATTAGCTTTATTCAATATTATATTTTTGGCACAATATAGAATTCTTAGCGCAAATGATTTCAAAAAGTTTCCATTTCTTATTTCTTGATCAATCTTGACGATAAACATTGAGTGATCATCAGTTAGATGTTAACAGTTTGGGAATCGACATTTGAATAATTTACATTCTTTGCTAAGTGTATTACCAGCAACCATGATATCTTTGACTGATCTCTTTTGTAACTGATATAGCGAAAGGTCGTAAACGTCTTCACAAACGCATTTGAATAGGTTATGCAATTAACTGGCATAATGATCTGTTAAAACAAACAAAAAGCAGATATTTCTGGTTAGTGTTTTTTTAGCGAGTTAGTTTTCTACAGGATAGGGTCGGTAACCTCATGCCAAACCCTCCTCTATTAACCGGGCTTGCGATCGGCAATAGCCTCCGAGGATCTCCAGGCGAAATTAAACAGATATTTTGTTTAAATATCCAGATGGCAGAAACTGATAGACTACATATTCAAGTAAGCCACCTAATTACTTTCTACTTGTTTTTGTTTGACGAATTGTACATCGGCATACATTACTTTGCTTCCATTCTCGCAGTTTAAAATTGTTCGTAGGTTACACTATTGATCGATTTCAACTAGACAACTATTGAAACTCCAGAGGGAGTGTTATTGAGTTATTTGATCCTAGTGTAGAACCTGACCACAAGCTTTTCAGGGATCGAGTTTATTACCTAGTCTTTGCCTTGCAGAGTGCTCATTAACCTTTAGTCATTTAATTACCATTTAAAAGCATTATCCCTCATTTCTTCAATCGACTCGTTTTACTTGATGACCATGAGTGTAATGACTAGGCCAAAACATGCATGAATTCCCACCAGTCTTGTCGAACTTCTAAAACGTCTTATTCTAGGACAAAAGCGGCTATCCATTCCCCTTCTTGTTTCGTAGTTAATATAATATAAACTTCAAATTGAATGTTTTACACAAATCTTTGATGCTAATACTAAGAACTTTTCATAAAACTTAATTTAGAATCGACTGTTTAATTTGCATTTGTGTTGACCATCGCTGTTCTTTGTAATTCACCTCTCGAATAAATCAACTAGATCTTATTACGAGATGTTTTTTTATTATGCCATCAACTGATACTAATCCATTCCATACACATTGAATAGTTAGTTAATGAGTCCAGATCGTAGAACAAGTAGCTCTTTATTATTCCTTTGATTAAGAAAAATTCTTTCTATTCGATTGCAGTTACTGATGAGCACATATCTCTTCATTATACAGAATCGCTATTGTACTAACTAAGTAAATTGGCGTTGAAACTGAAGATTTAGCGAAGTTAAGTAATAAATATACCTAAATTAGTACAATGATCGATTATGAACCATGACACTCTACATCGATAACTATTGATCACAGTTATCACATGGATGATAACTAGGAAATCATCATCCTATATCACAGATTTTGAAAATCAATACCGTTGTATAGTTTATCCATCCCTAGACTTCCAACGTATAATCCTAAGCCAGTCAGAATTATTTATCAAGGTAAAAAGTGGTTAAGTGTTAGTAACACAATTGATAGCCAGTTACATCAATGAGAATTTCTAAATAAGTGAAACCTGGCTATTGAGACTTAGAATCAGGAAAGGTTGGTTTGTAAGTAAGCAACTTTTCACTGGTTTAGTAATTATTTTTTCAATGAAGATTCATAACATCTTCAAAAGATTTTGTGATGTTTAATTAACACCCCCATACCTCACTTCATCATCAATCAGTTGGTAGTATTTTTCTTATAGATATTACCGAAATGCAAAGAACTCAGTCTATAATAGAATAACTTTTATTCATGTTACTACTTTCATAATACAAGAATATAATCGAAGAGGATATAGTGTATTCCATTTGACTCATGGATATGCACAGTTTGAGGAAGTATATATATATATATATATATATATATATATATATATATATATATATATATATATATATATATATATATATATATATATATATATATACTCATTGCCTTGTCGTGGCGGGAGTGTTGTTCACGAAATTGTGAGGACGAAAAGCGAATGTCCGGCGCTTTAACCGGGTTGATGAACACGGATAGTCCACCTGGGGGTGTTGGAAAACTGATTCCAAAGCAGTGGTGTACATGGGCTCCAGTTCTCTGAGGGAACAAATGACGTATGAACCAATTATTGGTCACCGACAACCATGGGACTGCATCTCCTCACGATGCTCCACTGCCTTGTGGATCAGACCTTCAGGTTGAAGGCTCAAGGTGTTGCTCCATAAGAAAACCACCTGATTGGGTTTGGGCACCCAGGCAGTATCACAACCCTGACACATATCGAATGAGATTTGTGTGGCGCATATGTATTTGGTACCTTCTTGTACCAGTATCTATGTGTTAAAATAAATAAATATATCTGTGTTCCAAGTCGAAACAACCAATTCGTATTTCTTCCTGTGAACCACTTTTTTTCTTCAATTTTCATTTTTCCACTGTTTATTGATGTTAATTTATTACATTGTTTCTTCCATTTATATTGGATTACAGTTTCAAATTCTAATTCAATACCTCCTTATGGATATTCTATAGATTCATCTGTATTACAACCATCATATTGCATAACTTCACCCACAAAACATCATCATCAAAGATATCAGAAAATGTCATCTTTTAATCATTCACAATCACCGGATATCAGTAATATCACTAACACAACCACTACCTCTACCGATACTACTACCAATACTACTGATTTAACCAATAGTCAATTATCGAAATCATTACATTTATTAGAAAATACATTTGAATTAACTAATGTTTCGAATAAATTAATTTTATTCAAAACAAAACTTGATTATTCTAATCAACAATTCAATGATCTATATAATAGTGTATCATCAAAATTATTAAAAAATTTAAAGAAATCACCTTTTCAAAATTCAACAAATACAATGGGAAATCATATCATCAACGATCATCTTGAGGATGATAATGTTGATCACAATTCTAATGATCTATTATTAAAGCATCAAACTATTGTGACAGATTCATCTTCACCTCAAACTATACCTTATATTAATTCACCATTTATTATTAGGGGTATACATATAATGCATCATAGTAAAACATTTGATCATAGTGAGCAATTTTAAGAAAAATAATTAGTGTGTTCATGTGTAGTTTGTCTAGTAGTAGTCTAGTTCCATATATCATGTATGGATATGTTGTGTAGTATGGGGTCTTTGCTAACTTATTTGTATGTTTGCGTTGTTGTTGCTGTTGTTGTTCATTCACCAATATTCTTACTTGTCGATTTCATCACATTGTAATGTAGAGAGATTACTTTGCACCGATTGTTTGATCTGTAAACTCATCAATGTTGTAATTTTTAACTAACCATGTTTAGTAGACTATATTTTTTCCATTTTCTTAGTACCTGATTGCTTCTATTTCTTTTTTGTTTGTTTTTCTTTTGAAAAAAATATTCATATCAGAACTATTTCGTGGTCATGGTCGTCATCAATTTACCAATGTTATTGTTACAATGAGTGAACCATCATCAGATAGAGAAGATAATGAACAAATTCAATCAAAACCTATGTTTAAATCAGATAGTACTGATATTATTAAACACAATATTCAACCATTGAATAATGCAAACAACACCATCAATATTGGTCATACTGGGAGTTGCCTCACAGTGAATCGACATAATGAATGTGAAAAATTCGATAAATTGTTTGCTTCGGATGCCAAACTACATGAATCAATTAATAAATTAAAACCACATCGTGATAATGAGAATGACGTCAACGATGATGATATACCGCCAGATTATGTACCGGAATTGCCTAATCGTAAAAGTCAACGAAGTTTTGGCTACAGGTAGGTGTTTAACTAAAATGTAGTACTTGCTGCAAATATGAATTTTTTTTCGACCAATTTGTTTCACATTCTCTGTGTTATGAAATGATTGGGGAAAGAGAGGTGAAGGTAACTAGCGTTACAAGTAATTCAGATTTGAATAGTAAAGTTAGGTAGTAGCTAGCAATGGAATCTATGAGGCTTGCTTCGTCTTAGTCAGGATACCAGGTAACGCATTGACCTTTTGAAATCGAAGGTACTGGATTTGAATGCTGATATGAGCATCCACACTGAAATCCAGGCACATCCAGCTAGAGAGTTTCAAACAGAATGAAACGCGCATTTTTAATTCAACTGTTTACTAATATCCAACTTAATCAAAACTTGTGAATATGTGGCACTGTCGAAGCAATTCACATAGCATTCAATATCTGATGGCATATCCGATATGCCAAAGGGGACAGATCGATCGTAGTCCTTTATACGAATAACAGAATGACATGAACCGTTACAAATACTGATCTGAATAGTTTAAACTATATTAGTTTCCTTAAAAAAATTCTGATAAACATTACTGACATGTAATAAGTAATGAATATGAAATTCGAGTTGAATGGAAAATTCTATGAATATGCCCTCACTGTAGTATAACACGATGATAAGTTTCTTAGCTTGGTGATGTGAATACGATCTATGGAATGCAGGCAGTACTGAAAATTAAACAGATGAGTTTTTTGTAGGAACATTGTTTCTACTGTAAACTGAAGTGAGCTACCTAATCTTTAGAAATAAGGAAAACTTTGGGAATTACAGGTGAGATTAGCTTTACGACATTTGTTGAAGTTCTAAATTGTGAACTATGAACATTACGAGGTTGATTAAGTTTGATGGGAAATCGGTATTGTACAATCATAAAAATCGATTAGAGATCTGCACCATTGTATTCGAGATCATGCTTATAAAAGTTTTATAATCTATTTTATTCAGTCCATGGGTTCCTACTCAACTCTGGTTTTAATTTTCCTAAATAGATATTACCAATCACATTTAATTTTAACGGATCCATCAATCACATCAAGTTCATCTGATGATACAGACGATCAAACCCCATGTACAATATTTACTTCTTCACCGAATGCATGCACACCACCAGCAGTTTATCGTCCTGACTTAAAATTTCATTTTAATGATACTGAATCAGAAAATGAAGATATAGATAATAAACATCAACAACAAATAGAGATAGAACAACGAAGAAAACAATCAGAATGTCATATGTGTAAACTAACTTTGCTGATACCAACTCCACCTCCACCAAATTCATCATCAGTCATGACAGTATCTCCATCTAAGATGAAGAAAGTACCATGGACTTACTTATTTGAAGATGTTTTCGATACTGAATGGCATAAAAGTAAAATATTGGGTAATCTACAATTTTGGGAAGATTCCTTTTTAGATACAGTTGCACAAGAACGAGATATACTTGGTTAGTTCTTTCTTATAAATCTTAAAATGTGAAGAAAAAAGATTTTTTTTTCATAGATTGGATGTACATCGATGATCAATAGACAGCTAACGAGTTGATTACTGCTTATTAACTACCACCACTTAAGTTATATAGTAAGCCAGTCAGTAGTAGCCTAATACGAGGTCTATTCGATGGCAATCAGAAGTGACCTGTAGGACAAGTATATTTCATTGGCTAGGAAATGGATTGATTTCCTAAGGGGTAGAATTATTCATGTATATAAATGAGTACTTGTGCATTTTATTCAGTAGCCTAATATACTTACTCGCTCAAATAGTTAGTTGTTTGGTTAGCACCCAGTATATCGTATATCAGTATCAGTTTTCGGACACCACCCATCACAACACTAAGCATAAATTTTCAATGATAAACAGAAAGTTAAAGCTTTGTACTACATATCGTACCAGAACATTATTACTTAATTACTTCTGTTACTCCTCGTGAAGGAGCATAGGCCGCTCACCAGCATTCCTTTCCAGCTCCTTTCAGTTCCTATTGATCCTTTTCATATCTGCTTTTAATTCCCGACGTAATGTGTTCTTTGGCCTTCCTCTTTTCCGTTTCACTTCAGGATTTCAAGTTAGGACTTGCTTCGTGATGCAGTTTGACGATTTGCGTAGTGTATGTCCTATCCATTACAAATGAATATAATATCAAAATTAGTTGTTCAAATACAATTAACAGTCACTTTTTAAATAAGTAATTTACTCATAGAATATCTGGTTAATTAATTTATAATCGATGTATAGGTTTACTTTGCAGCATTTGATCAATGTTTCTAAAGCGAAAAAAAGGACTAAATAGCTGATTGAAACTAAGACTTTTTGAGTTTTATAACGAATGTACTAATTTGTAATTTGATGGTTTACAGCTTCATTATGATTTCATTATGTTGAATAGCCTAACCATCCTTTAAGAATGTACATTGAGAGATGTAAATTATCAAATAACTATGATTAAGAATTGTGAAAGTCTTTATACATAGAGTCTTACTATTGAAAGAGTCGTAACAACCAATAATACGTCTCTATTCATGACTCAGAAAGTTTATTTACTGTTGTATAAGGGTCTTAAAATGTTCTACGTTTTTGTTTTCAATATCTTCATCGTGCAAATCCAATTATCTTTGGAAATCATATTTACAGTTCAATAAAATAAACAATAAGAGAAAGTAGATATTCTTGTCCATCTCCCTGAAATCATGTTTCACTGCGTTAACTGTAAAAACTGGTAACTGCAAAATGTTTTGACATGTAGTTTTTATTATCACTTGACTTCAGTTATACAGTCAGTTGATATAAAATTAGTCAACACTGGACGGCTTTATTAATTCGAGTATAACAACATTCATCGATGAGTAATGCAAATAGTGCTAGTTGTAATCAAATCTTAGAGTATCATTCACGTTGGGAAAATTCGATCTCCCTTCAAATGACTACACCTATACAACCACCGACAAGGAAGTCCTACTCACTGCAGTCTCGTGGCGGTGATGTTGTTTACGAAATCGGGGTGATGCAAACTGAATGTTCGGAGCTTAAATGGGTTGGTTAATGTGGAGGATCCATCTAGGCGAGTTGGGAAATCCTGACTCAAAACCATTGTTGCCCATGGACTCCAGGATCCTGAAGGAAACAAATGGCGTATGAACGTATTGTTGGGCACTGGCTGCCATAGGACTGCATCTTGTGACGTTACTCCACTGCCTTGTGGATTAGACCTTTAAGTCAAAGGCTCGAGGTGTGGTCCCTTAATAAAAGCGCCTGCTTCTGTTTGGGCTCCCGTGTATTATCACAGCCTTCACACAAATCAATAATAACTAATGTTTGCCTTATTGTTACTGTCTGATGCATATGTATTCGGTGCCCAATTGTACCAATGTTTATGAGTTCGAATAAATAAACAAAACGTACATGCAACCAACACGTCATCTCTAGATCATCATCACTAAGTCAGAAAATACATTCAGTGTCCACAATACATTCACCGTAACTTCTTACTTATCATATTATGAACTTACACCACACTGAATCACTATTAATAATTTTACCTTTCATTTCTTTAATTCACATTCAGGTATGGATTTTCGACCAAAAGAACTTTTATTAAAATATCAAAATGCTTCTTTATTAAAACGTAAACAAATGGAATTAGAAGAAGATTGTTTATTAGTAAATATAATGCATAATATGATTGCATTTATGCTAATGGCTAATGTGGATCGTATATCTATACGTAAAAAATTACAACGTTTATTAGCTAAAAGTCATACAGGTTTACATTATTCACGAAAAATTAATGATTTATTAAATTCATTGAATTATTTAGTAAGTTTGCTTTTTTTTCTTGTTGTTGTTGTTGTTGTTGAAGTGTCTCGTATTCTGTTTTGACATCTATTTATACAAAGTACTTTTGTTCAGTGTGTTTTGTTCAATGCATTAATTGTGGAAGGTCATCATTATCACTTTGGATGTAATTGTCAACAGTTATGACATGTTGAAGTAAACTGTTTAGTTATTATGTAGACACTAAATCAGTCTATTGTGATACCACTTTTTTGTGTGGGAATAGGTTGTCTTCAATGATATAATGTCAACTTGATTTGTCTTTGTGTTTTTGTTCATTATTTATTCGGAAGATCTCTGATCACAATGGTTTAACTTTTCAACATAAATTCATATATGGTCATAGATTAGAGATTAGTCTGGTTCTGTCCAATAACTGTGCTTGCTGACCTGTTTTTGTAGATACATAAGAAAATCTATCAGGATTCTCACGAGAGCCATTTATGAAGATATCACACTGAAGGCAAGATCTTTGTGTACAGCCTGATCATGCGTTTCAATAAGGGTTGCGTAGATTGAAATAATAATCCGAGGTCAGAGCAATTGTCAGTCTCCCATGCTGGTTGATAAATCGAATTTGTGTACGATCTCTTCTGATTCCTGACCACTGATTCACTGTCTGCCTAATTGTTGATGAGCTGAATCGCCTGAGCACACTCTTCTAAAGAAAGAATGAAACGTTGAGGTTGTTCAAGAGTTTAACTCCTAAGGAATTCTACAAATGTTTTGAAAAATAGAAGTATAGATTAGACATGTGTATTGTCACAAACAAGGGGGAGATGTAGCAGTTTGAAGACAACAGAACTGACCTAAATAGAATTATTTTTTGAAAATTAATTTACAAAATTTGTTGAACTAAACACATCAACTCAAGTATCACTAATGACCATGATGTTAAGCTACTCAAATCATTTATCATGCACTAATACGTCGTATAATTGGCTTTCTGTCAGATCCTAAGTATGTGGGCATGTGAGTGATGTGTGGTTGTCATCTGACCCCAATAATTTTATCAATTCACATGTTTATATTTCCCATATTAATTTCTCAGATCGTACTGATGACTGATGTCATCAGACAATGAGATAACAAATTTTCATACAGAATGATTTGGGATTATCATATCAGTACACGAACCATGACAGTAAATCAGTAGATGAAAAATGAATGTTGACACATAGCCAAATATAAAGTATAACTTGTTAAGTGGGTGAGTGTATGTAGTTCAGAAAGGTTAATTGGATAAATGATTAAACAGACATTCACACAAGTACACATATAGTAAAGTACATATGCGAAACTGAAAAATTACGCTTATGATAATATTAACAATAGCATGTTTATCAATCAAATAAAAGCTAAGCCTTGAATAAATCTAAATAAGTGTCAGGATGGGATTCTTATAAATACCACCGAGTTATCTGAAACGGAGATTGGGTGAATTATGAAGCAGTTATTTAGTAACAAAAAGTTGTTCACCTTAACCGGTGGACTACCGCACCAAACGTTTTTACACTAAGCGAAAGTGACCTGTTATAGTCTATCATTTCTTTGAATCATGAGTCGATTTGAGGTAGAAAGTCATTATAAACATCAAAGCATTAGATGTCTGTTTCGCCCCAACATGGGACTCCTCAACATTGGACACCCACTACGGCGCCAGCACGAATCGTACCCAGGACCTTCGATCTCGCGCGCGAACACTTAGCCTCTAAACCACCAAACTCAGATCTAATGGTGTACGGGTGTAACTTCAATCAATCCATCTCGCATTGTCGACTGTATTATGAAGACCTCGACATCGGGGGGAGGGTGAGCACGTAATACAATGAACAGCCTACTTGCAGTTAAACTTCGTAGATGTGCTGGCTCTTCTATCCAATGCAGACGAACAAATTCAGGTCAAGACAACTAATGTAGCAGAAGCCTCCACATCAGTTGGCCTCAAGATACACAAGGGAAAAAGACACATCTTGAAATACAACACACAGAACAGCAATCAAATCATACTTGATGGAGAAACTCTGAAAGTTGTGCATTCTTTTACGCACCTGGGAAGCATCATTGATTAATGTGGAAGATGCGATGCAGACATAAAGACGACGATTAGGAAAGCAAGGGCCACATTCCTACAGTTCAAGAATATTTGGAACTCAGAACAACTATCAACCAATATCAAAGTAAGAATCTTCAAAACGAACATCAAGACAGTTCTACAGTACAGAGATGAAAATTTGAAAACTACCACAACCATCATCAAAATGGTAGAAGTATTTATAAATAGTTGTCTACATAAGATACTAAATGTCCATCGGACGGATTCCATCAGCAGCAGAGTTTTGTGGGAGAGAACAAACCAGCTGAAGTGGAAATTAGGAAAAGACGTTGGAAGTGGATAGGACATACATTGAAGAAATCACCAAACTGTATCACAAGGCAAGCTTTAACTTAGTTAGTCACTATTGATTACATGACACTCGTTAGTATGAGGTTGTGGAGTTTATTAAATTTCATTGAAACGATCGTTGTATTAACATAATTCATGAAACTAGTTGTCCGATTCAACATAACTTACTAATTCACTGTGAAATAAGAACTTTTTATACATTTTTATTAAATCCAATAACTATTTTCTACAAATATAAAAACCACACTCATCTATCAATTACTGAATCTTAGTTTGAACCATTACACAACATAATTTGACAATCAATAGTCATGCTAGTAGCCTTTCAGTATGATGGAATTTTACAAGTGTATTAATTACTGAGTTCATTCACGTATCCTTACATGAAAAAAATGTCATCTAATTGATATTTATTACCGAGTTCATCACCCCATAAAAAGTTGTAGTTTTGCATGGGATAAATTATCTATCTATCTATCCTATTATCACCCTCTATATGTTTGTTTCTCTTCGTGTACTATTCAGAATTTGACCTTGACCATGATTTTTTCCAAATAAATAGAGTATATGTACATCAATATCTACTCACGTGTTGATACAGTATTACTTGTCTTTAAATTACATCCAGAGTTTTTTTTAGAAGGTAATGAAGCTATACCTTCTCTGTGAATAACTTTTCTAGGGTAAATGGAAATACAAAACCTTGCTATCACGATCATATCTAGTTTAATATAGTTAATATAAATTACTATCACATTTAGGAAGGTATTTACTTCTAGTTCCTTCGTATTTGATCATACTGTTATGATTATGTGGTGGCAGTAGTACACTTATTCTAAGAAAAACTTGCATACTGTATACAACAGCTCTATTTTCTTCTAGCCTTAACTACTACAAAAGACAAATTTTCCTAAGAAGACTCATTGAAAGTAACCAAATATGATTAAATGTTTATTGGCTTTAATTCAATGATATGTCAATTAATTAATCAGTGCTTGAAGTCACTAACATGTAGTCTTAGATATGTTAGTAGATATAAACTACTTGCTTCGAGTCCGCACGACAATTGTAACCAAAGGTTGGAGACTCTGGGTGACAGCTCATAACCGATCACATTGGCGTAGGTGTATACACTCTCTATCTTCTCTTCATATCTTTCTTTCTACCAATTAATTCTTTCTTACATAAAATATTTTATATATTGCACCATTAAGTTATCTGCTTCTATAAATTCCATGTTCGTCTTACTGTGTTAATGAAGTATGGCAACTTGGACCGATGCATATACGTACCTGGTCCTACGTTGTGGCTGACTGACTGACTTCAACTAAACATTCATCACTTGAATACAGCATGACAATGAAGTAATTAGTATCAGAAGGGGTTTTTGTGGATATTTTAGTAATTTCAATGGTTGAGATTATGATTCATTTGAATCCAGACCACCATGGAAAAACTGGTAGCACTAGACAGCTTTTCCATCCTAATGTGGGACTCCTCATTTAATTAATTCAGTGAGGTGTCTTGAAATTCAATGAATGACTTCATATAAATAGAATCAATACAATTGAACATATATTAATAGTTGATGAACACAGTGTTCAGTTTCAGTTAGCATACGAATTATTATCACCAACACATAAACAAAACATCTATAAAAGGTAATATATTTAATTTAATAGTTGAATTCATGAGTCAATTGAAGCTAGACCACCTAGAAGCACTGAACAGTCGTTTCATCCTACTATGGGACTCAGCAGTGCACATTTACGATCACGTCTCGCGGGATTCGAACCCAGAACCTATCACTTCAGTTTTTTCCATGATGGTCTAGCTTCAATTGACTCATGAATTCAACTATTAAATTGCTATATCTACAATAACCTTTCTTTGATTATAATATAATTACTACACATTATTACGCAGTATGAACAACCTAATTGATTTCAGTAAAGGAAAAAAAAGGCTTCAAACATTTTTTGATCAAATTAGAAAATCAATGAGTTTTTTGATGATTCAATTGCAATCAAATATGCGACATTTAAGTTTTTTTGCTCAAAATGCAAATGTCATATTATGACATGCAGTGAAATTACCTTTGTAATACTGATCAAAGCGTTAAACATTGAAGCCAAATATTATTATTATTAAGTAAACATATCAGTGTTAAATATGTGAGATTCCTTAATTTAGTCTCATTAGGTTGTATATTTGAGGCAAATCAACTTTTAAATTCACCTGGTATTGTTTGTCTAAATCTTCTCATTGATGTTTACGACTACAATTGATCAGTCTCTTATTGACACATGTTCATCCTGTGCGAATTGCCTCGATATTATAGCCTTAAGTCATAAGCTTTGTAAGCAATGATGGATAGTAGTGTCTAGCAGTGGAATCTAGTTTGAGACGCGTTTCGTCCTACTTGGGACTTGACCTCAAAGTTGATGTTCACTCTGGGACTCGAACCCAGTACCGTTCGCTTCAAACGCTATGGCGTTATCCACTTAGCTACTGAGTCCTGATAGCCACTTGCTTCATTCATTAATTATATAAAATTGTCTCTTCTTTTATAATATCATTGTCTTGTTCATAAAACTATTCATTTACTATAACTCTTATCTGATTAGCTAACAATCAGTTCAAATTTCTCATTATCGTTTCAAGTTTATGTGTTTACCTACTTTAACTAAATTTTGTGAGAGATATTTGCAGTTATGTTGAATCGCATATAGTATGAACGTAATTTTTAAAACTTACTTTTATTGTTTTATACTGGAGTGTAAATGTAATATTTCATATGTTATTCTTCTTACAGAATGGGAACGATATCGATTTAAATGTGGCTCAAAGTCGTTTTATTGTACAGCGTTCACATGAAGCCTATCGTGGTTCAGATGAGAGTGGTGAACTAATATTTCTTGAAGTAATATTTTTTTAAATGTTGAATTATATATTTTTAGCGTATTCCTAATATTTAGTGTAGTGGCTAATAGTAAGTAATGTAAAGTACGGCACTAGGCTGGAGGAACGTATATTTAATACGAGAGGTTACAAATATATATATATATATATATATATATATATATATACGCCCGGTCTCTACGTGTTATGCTAATTCCGTGCTTTCGATGTACTGAAACACTTCACTCCGTCTGACAATTCTTGGACCTTCGACGCCACGTTTCGCTACACACTTCTTACAAACAATCTTCCTCTTACTTTCAATAATCCTTATTGATTTAGTAGAGTATGTTGCAACCTGGATATATTTTTTGTGAATTGTATATTGAGAGTTGTACAAAATAATTCTGAGTTGTTATGTTTTTTTGTTTTTTTCATTATAACCTTAATCGTCTAACTAATATTGCTTGACTAGAGATACCAGAAGTGACGTAATTTATAATAGATGATCATCAGAAGAAGAGGTTTTGTGGATATTATCGTAGTATTCATAGTTGGGTTCATGAGTCAATTGAAGCTTAACCACCATGGAAAACGTGGAAGCACTGGACTGCCGTTTCGTCCTAGTATGAGATTCGAACCCAGGACCCATCAGTTTTGCGCGCGAGCGCTTAACCGTTAGACCACTGATCCGGCATCCAACGGTGTTAATGTCTAACTTCAACTAATCTACGGAATTGAGCGACATATCCACCATTGTCTTCAATGAATCACTATCTCACAACAGACCCAGTTTAACTTCACAGGTCACTGCTTCTCACTAGATGATCATCATATGAAAATTCTTTTATGTAGCAAATCATCTGAAGATCGAAATGGCAGACCTTAGAATTATTATTGATTAAATTCTATTAAAATGTATTATACACATTAGATACTTGATCATTTTATCCTTAAAGTTTCCTTAGATCTCGTATACTCAGATTATTAAAAAAGTCCCAAAACTAATCTAAAACAGTTATTCAACCATTCATGACTTTATATATATATATATATATATATATATATATATATATATATATATATATATATATATATATATATATATATATATATATATATCGTTCAACTAATGTTTATTAATTCATTTATTTGAACACATAAATATTGGTACAAGAGGGCACCAAATGTATATGCCCACACAAAACAATGAAAATTTGAAGAGAATAAGGAAAAAAGTAAGGAGCGTAAAAAAGAACAATAATGAACAGATTAGTGTAAGTTAGCGTAATAATAGTAATAATAATGGGAGAGACGGAAAGGTACAATCAGAAGAAATCTTTCAGTTAAGGAAGAAGCTACCATTTTTTATGAAGAAAGTTAAAGAAGGTTACTGCAGGATCGCCACTGGTTTTTATTCTGAGGCATATTTGATAACGTCTCTAGCCACTGTGTTGCACCATCTCTCAGACCCCAACGAGGGAGTCGTGAAGGATCAACACAAACCAGTCCTTTGCAGCTTTCTTTCATACCACGACATCATATCATACACTGACCACCTCCCCGCTTTTTCCAACCAGTCCCAGAGTCGGCAAATAATGCACGACGTGGAATTCTCTGGAACGACATTCGTAGAACACGTCCAAGCCACCGAAGTCGGTGTTTCAAGATGGTGACACCAATTGCATTATCGTCTCTGTGTCCGAACACGCGATGCCGAACCTCTGCATTACTGACATGGTGTTGCCACTGGATGTCAGCAATCTTTCGGAGACAACGATGATCAAACACAGAGAGTCGTCTAACATCCTCATGTATCAGTTACTTATGAGTAATACTATTTATTTTGATTACTTTCATTCTACTATTATGATTTCATAACAAAACACATTTGGAAATGTACAAAGAGATACTTCTTAAACGATTATCCCGAATTCTCTTTCATTCTTTTATTCCTGTCTAATTATCATTAGGTTTGTTCTGATTATCTATTAATTCGTAATTTATCTGGACGTATATTAGAACGTTTATGGTATGATCAAGTGATCAATTTAACGTATAGATCACATACGCATATATTATGCATTACAAGACAAATATTTGATCATTCACAAATGGATTTATTTTATACTCGTAAAGTAAGTATTTGGATTCGTTTTTTTTCTTCATTAAGTGACTTGAATAACGTAGAACCAGGTACATATATCCATCGGTTCAAGCTGCCATACTTCATTAGCACAGTAAGACCAACATCGGATTCATAGAAGCAGATAACTCAATGGTGTAATATATAAAAGATTTTATGTAAGGTTATAGTACAGGAAGAAAGAATTAATTGGTAGAAAGAAAGATATGAATTGATTTTAATCTCCTAGTTTAAGGGAAGACAAAGAGTGTGTATACACCTAGGCCATTGTGATCGATTCTGATTCATGTCACACAGAGTCTCTAAACATTGGTGATGATGTGGTGTGGGTAACTTATATCCACACATGTAGTATATAACGGTTGTTAGGCATATAATGTATTTCAGTAGAATGTCGATGAGGAATGAACGGAAACGAGACGCAGTTGGTATGAAAACGTATGAAGTCTGAGACAATGGATTGATGTTTGCTATAGGAACAGTCAAATTTAATATGATGGATTGATATTTTGCAAATTAACGATTTTCTGTATTGTTCTTAGATTTTATTGAGATGCTCTGTAATTTTGCGCTCAATTACACCTAAGTAGGTGGTTTTCCTAAGAGGTCACACTCCGAGCCTTTGACCTAAAGGTCTAATCCACAAGACAGTGGAGTAAGGAGATGCTAACCCATGACAGCCAGTAACCAACAAAAGGGTCATACGCCATTTATTTCCTTCAGGATCACGGAGTCCGTGTGCAACATTGGTTTGGAATAAGGGTTTTTCAACTCCCCTAGGTGGTTCCCACAAACCCCATTACAGCGTCGGACATTCGCTTTTCGTTCTCTTAATTTCATAAACAATAGTAATGTCGCGAGAATGCAGTCAGTAGGAGTTCCCTGTCGGTGGTTGTATAGGCGTGGTCGTGTGAGATCACTTCGAGATGGAGAGTAGACTCTTCCCATTCTAGGCCATTCGAGCCCGAGACTACTCGCACTCTTCAAGTGCATTAAGCAGTTTACTTTGCCCACTTTTAGTATTTCTTAAGTAAATTTTGGTGTACGCGCTTACGGAGATACAAATAATTTTCAAGCCGTTGTTGCAACTTTACTTACATGCTCATATTTGTTACATTCTTCTTTTCTTACCAGTCTCGTTTAGTTTATCAACAGATCAAAGAATCAATGAAAAATATATCTGTAGAAGCTTCACATGGAATATTAAGTTAGTTCTATTGTCTATGTTTTGGCTAGAAGTATTATATGAGATATATATGATATGAATCAGTTAAATATAATTTATTATTATCGTTTTCACAACCTCGAACCAATCAGAAATCTAGTATACCTTCACAGTAGAAGGGGAAGAGCTTGACACAGGATTACTTTGAACATTTTATTCCGAAAATCCTCTTCAGCACGAATGAACACCATCTTAACTACTGTCTCAGAAAAAAAGGTTTAACACTTCGCAGCAACAGATTTCCAACACATGATACTGCATAGGATCCTAATTCGCAATCACCTTTTTTCTATCGTCTGAATTTTCCAATTCAACGACCATCGAATACTGGAAAGCTGTTACATGATCGGCTTCACTTTGTGTGACGTTCTGGGCTGGAACTGTTGTTGACAAGCAAAGGAGATTTTCCATCGACTTCAGAGATTTTCAATTCGACAACTGTTTATACGCTTTCGAATTTTTTTTTACCTCATATTTGTTCATTATTTCTGTGTTGCTGAAAACGGATATAAGTAGCAAAAAAATAATTTCAAATATTTCATTCAATACCTGTTCACTTCCAATTTCTTTAATTTATATAATACAGTATTACATTCTTTATTTGTTTGTTTCTTCTCCTATCTCATCAACCTAATCGACTGGAAATTTTGAGGTATTACGATCAATGTTTCCGACCGATTAATTTGATCAAATGTTCTTGACTTTTTGTTTATTTTGAACGATCTTAAAGTATTAACTTTGTGATCAGTGTCAAGCCGTAGACAAGTAATTACACTGTTTAAAACATGTTGGCCTCTTAACCTCAGTTGCTGTGAAACGTTTTCCGAGATGCAAAAAAAGATTATGCCTTACTTTGACTACAATGTAATTTCTTTGGCATGTTCATTTAAGCTAGTAAATGCAATTGTAGATGGGTGCCTGAACAGAAGCAGATGGCATTCTTATCGGGCCACTCCTTGCGCCTTTGGCTGGGTGGTCTAATCCATAAGGCAAGAGAGTCATTTTAAGAAACATGCGGTCCCATGGAAGCCGGTGGTGACCAAGAATTAGTCCATACTCCAGTTATTCTTTCAGTATCCTAAAACCAATGTTCACCATTTGTTTTTCAACTCCCCCAGGTTGGATCCTCCATACTCATCAATCCATTTAAAAAGATGGAAATTCGCTTTTCGTCCTCTTAATTTCATAAACAACACATCCAGCACATAAAGACAGTGAATTAGACTTCCTTAACAGTAATCATATAAGCCTAGCCGTGTGAATTCACTTAGAGAAGTAGTGCGGACTCTCCTCACTCTCGAATATATCACAGTATTCAGAGACATTGTAGTTGTTAGTAAGATTTGTACACCACTTTTCATAATTTTGTAAAATTTCTTTCGAATCTCATGTAGATGGTGATTTGAACGGTGAGATTAACGCAACTAATTTGGACAACAATCAACCTGGTACTATTAGTATCTTATCAGATGGATTCGTTATCAAATTCGGTGATGAGCAGGTTAGATTTTATTATCTTAAACATAATTAAACTCGTGTGTGTATTTTCAGACGTGCACCTATATATATATATATAGATGCACGATGTGAGGGTTATTTAATGTATCTTTTTTATGTCCTTTTGCCGGTTGTACTGTATACATTCATGGTGTTGTTTTTATTATCGTACAGTGGACAGTCGTGGAGTTATGTCACATCTCTAAACGTCATCAACATTTGTTTAAAAGATCCAACATCGATGGAACCTTATTAGTTTTCTAACCGTTATTCTTCGAAAAAGGCATCCTACTTACGCTGAAATTGTGTCATTTTACTTGCTTCTGCTTAAATCCAATTTGAATATTACTATTTTAGTAACCCTATATATGAAAAACGCAGAACAAATTAACACTATAGTGCAAAGCAAACAATTAGGTGGGTGACAGAGATCATTGCTTGAAATATAGAAGTTAGTGCTCGTGGTGATTTTGTTACATTTGTGATTAACAACTAAAATTCCGGATCATGAAATCACAATGATTTGGCTTACAATGTTCTTCATTCGTTAATGACTTTTGTTACTTTTAATCAGACCTCTCATATATTCTTCATCGAGTATAATTATTATCTTCATCACTCTCTTTCTATTTCAGAAATTCATCAAATTACATAATGTTAAACGTTGTTGCACAATAAAATCAGAAATATTTACGATTGATGTCTACGGTAAGTGGTTCATTTTATATTTTTTTATTCAATAAAATTAGACATACTTCCATTTAATAGTTGGGTTCATGAGTTAGTTAAAACTACACCATGATGGAAGACCTGGAAACATTGGACGGCCGTTTCGTCCTAGTATCAGACTCCTCAGCAGTGTGCGTCCACGATCCCGCTCGCGGAACCGAAGGTCCTAGGTCCGAATCCCACTCTCAGGCTCGTGGATGCGCACTGCTGAGGAGTTCGGTACTAGAAAAAAATGGCTATCCAATGCTTTCAGGTTTTCTATAGGGGTGTAGCTTTAATTGACTCATAAACTGAACTATTAATTGACTACAATCTACACCAAAACCATCTTCTGATAATAATTGGATCTGTTTTAATCTGACTAGAGGGCATTTTCTGTCTTGTCATTCTACACTATTAAAACCTGTTTGAATTCTACTTGGTTATTTATCTATTTACTTTGAAGACGTGAGTTACACTGAGTCATAAAATGTAATAAACTGCAATTTCTACTCATTATTTTATTACTTATATCCTGCTCAATGTTCAATTTTTTTTTCGAAATGATGAAGTCAAAGTTTAGTATTAATGCCTGAAATCAGTCTTTTTTGATAGTTCCATAGGTAGATATTCGTTAAAATTCTCCTAATTATTTGAAATCACTGGTTTAACTTTGTTAAGCGACTATTGTCAAAACCTAACAACCTTTAGCTAAATTAACCTTGAGATTAAATTGTTTTTCATGATTCCACCTTCTAGTATTCGTTAATAGTTCATAGTTTCAATGTCAGTTAAGAAAACATTATCTCGAATTCTGAATTTTCCCTTGATATACCATCAGAAATTTATGTTGTTATCAAATTTAGTATTAACTATTTATTTGAGAAGGGGTTTCGTGGAGATTGTGGTAATTTCAATAGTTAAGATCATGAATCATTTGAATCTAGACCACCATGATACTCCTCGGCAGCACGCATCCACGACTCCATTTCGCGGGATTCGAACCTAGGATCTATCTGTCTAGTTTATTTAAAAGTCATTTCCATTTAAATGGTGATGATCTTGTAACCTGGTGCATACAAAAATACTAAATTAACTAACTGTTCACGCTTGAAATATCTTTAGTTTCTCTGATGCAAAGATCTTTTGCGTATATGAATTCGTTGCTGATTATTTTCAGTAACTAGAAGATACTGTCTCTTTTTCCCTCTGTCACACACACTACTGATCCGTAAGTCTCGGTACCCATATTGTCGTAATATGAAAAATAGTTATATATCTCATTCCACTCTAGTCTCATCAGTGGTATGACTTGTGTAATTGATAATTTAGGTCTTTATACATATAAATATATAACAGCTGGTTCTGTAAACGTTTCTTATTTCATTCCAATTTTTATCATTTTTATTCCCTACTTCAAATAAATATCAGATCAAGAGAAGAAAGCAATGATCACTTATCGATTTCAAACGGATATGGTATGTTTATATTTGATATAATATTAAATATTCTCATTGTATCTTCCATTGTATTCACTTCATTTCTATTTTCAAATATGAATTTATGCAGTAGATTTCCTATTGGATGAATCACATATGAAAAAACGTAATTATACTTAGCACTACTCATCTTTTGTTACATACTACATTACATCCTATGCAAATCAAAGGATCAAACGACACACTTACAGAACGAAAAAAATGAAGAAAACTACCTGAGGACCATCATTCAAAAGAACCACTACCCAATCAACTTCATTGAAGAATACCAACCGTACGCATCATCAGAAACAAAGTCGAGTAGAGAAATCAACAGAACGATCACCCAACCATACATAAAAGGCGTATCAAAAACTACAACGGGACTAATGAAACACTTCGGAATACGTGTTGCACATAAACCAACAAAATCACTACAGTCAGTCCTATGCAAATCAAAGAATGAAATAACAAAGGAAGACAGATCAAACATCATCTACAAAATAAATTGTGCCAGTTGCGAAAAACACTAGATCGGACAAAGCGGATGCCCTCTTCATCTTCACCTGTATGAACATCAATTAGCAGTGAAACGCAATGACATGTCCTCACTTATATCATTGCAAGTGGACACCTGTGCACACCCAATCGACTTGAAAAATGTGTAAATTGTAGATAGAGGCAATTCGAAAAACACCAGAGAATTTTTAGAAGCTTGGCACTCAAATCAATCAGCAATCCACAATTACATTGAAATCGATTCAATTTATCCCGACCGTTGTTGCTACCTTGACGTGGTGGTCGGGCTGGCCTATCGTGATGAAGCAACCGAGCTATACTGGCTGGAACAACCGTTCCTCAAGGTCCTACCATGTCAGACAGGTCGGTTGAAGAGCGGTAAGACTAAAAGCAACAAACCTAAGGTCCGAAGGCGAAGTCGTTGTAGCTGACTGACTGACTGACGACTCAATTTATCAACCAATCAGGAAGATTATGGATAAACATTGGAAGAGAAATCAAACCGATGGGAGATACAACCAAAACGAAGAAGTAAACAATGACAAGTATAATGGTAACAAGAGCCAATCAACATGGAGTTGTACAGGACAAGCTGTGAACCATACGTGGAGAAATTCGAACACTTCACTTCTACTTGACATTTATGCTGATGATGTCGTTGAGATGGAGAACGATGAAATTTCCACGACCAAATTTCCAACTTAAAGAACAAAACTCGATCAAGAAAGCAACATTATCACCGTTGTTATTGGTTAGTTAAAGTCATTGAAAAAAACTGAGGATTGATGTATAACAGTTTAAAGCTTTGAAATGTTTGAAAATTCGTAATGTATAAAACTTTCTAGTCAGAATATCATTGTGTGTCAATCAGTCAGCTACAAAATAGGACCAGGCACATATATGCATCCGTCTAAGTTGCTATACTTCATTATCGGTATGTCAGATAAACATTTTAAATACTCTCTATTCTATAGAGTTATTCTTCAAATAAGAGATACATCATCACAAAGCAACGCAATTAATAAATCTTAATAGGTACATAATTAAGACATTTTCGAAACAAAATTAAGAGAATCTTCATCGACTGAGATGATTGGGCCACGTGTTACGTATGCACGAGCACCAATTACCACGACGCGCATTGCTGACTAGTGTTACGGATGGTTGGAAGAAAGTTAGTGACGGCCAAACCAAAACGTTGAATCAGTGCTTGAAGTCACTAACTTCTAGTCATGACTATCGTAATCACTGGTTGGAGACCCTCGGTGACATAGCTCAGAATCGATCACAATGGTGTCCATGTATACACTCTCTGTCTTCTCTTAAACTATGAGATTAAAATCGCTTCATATCTTTCTTTCTACGAACAACTTCTTTCTTCCTGTACTATATCTTTATATGCAATCTTTCTTTTATATTTTACCACATCTGAATTAACTACTTTTATGAATCCGGTGTTCATCTTGTTGTGTTAATGAGGTATGGCAACTTGGACCGTTGCATATATGTACCTGGTCCTACATTGTAGCTGACTGACTGACTGACTAAGAGAAAGAAATAAATCGCATTTACACTTGCAGGGTTAACTTGTAAGTTATGAATGTTAAAAGATATAACACCGTAGACTTTTTTTGTTCTAATTAACATATCTAGACGGTCTATTTGCATTATGTTTAGTGAATGTTTATTCCTCATGAAGGTCTAACCGACATTACTCAGTTTGAATAATGAAGAAGGTTACTTTAATTCTTATCGAAGTTGTGTCTAGACAATTTTTTTCTATTTTTCCAACATTTGAAAGATGATTATATACCTTTTAATATTCTATTGTTATCCATTGAAATCTCTATAGGCTTTAATAATTTTAAGCTTATGGAAAAGTATCATTGAATCGGCTCTTCGGCCTAAATTGAAGAATATGACAAAGTGATGATTGGTGATGATGATGGTTGGTCAGTTTACTGTTGGACCCCAATATGTTGTCTGTTAATGTGTTTGTTGTTGTTGTCGGTGTCGTCGTCGTCATTGTCATCGTCATTTTCTTTGTGCTACTTTTTAAGTCGAATTTTATTTATATATGAATGAGTTTTATGAAATAAAATTATATACTTACTTACTTCAATAGTTTACTCAAGTTTTAAAGCCTAATCTTTCATAGTTTATAAGATAATTGAACTATTACATACTGTCTGTGTATATTTTTGAGTTGAATACATCCATACAAAGCTATATTGATCTAGGTTACTAATTAGTTTTATATATCGGAAATGGTGATTAAGTGCATATGTGACTCATGTGGTGCATATCAGTTTAGCTCAATAACTTGTTGTTCGGACAAAATTTACAATCTTCATCAAGTACTCTTTCTACTACCTTCATTTGATTGAAAGATATACCGGATCAAATACTAACAATGTAATTTTAGCCTTCAATAAACAAGTTTTATAGCCATATTACATAAATGACATAAACCTTCTGGGTTCCATGAATGATCCTGAACTATCTATAATTACTAAAACTTCACCCCTATTGCACAATCAAGTGACTATCAGGATTCAATAGCTAAATGAATAGTGTGATAACGTTTTGAAGCAAACAGTATTGAGTTCGAATCCCAAATCGGATTCTACTGGTAGCCATTATCCATCTTTATATATATAATAATACTTATATTCTTTTTTATGTTTGTTTATTTTTATTTCAGACAACTCATTTATTTCAAAATTTTGTATCACTTTTCTCAATGTCATCATCATCCTCATCATTTCAGTAATTCATTTACTCTGTAATAATTCGAAAATAATCAAAATAAATCAATGATGTCATAGCAACTAATCATAATACATTGGGATACATACAAAGGAAATAACATTTTTGTTGTTGTTGCTTGTTATTGTTCCCAAATCAATTCTCTATGTACATGTGATGAATGTATTTTAAATGTTCTCCTCCTGTATTTTATTCTTATTCAACAGTGTTAATTGTCTTCCTTATAATATACACATTTGAATATTCTTTCATTCCTTGTAGATGTTGTGATCATGAGTATGTGTATGTGTATGTGTGTGTATTTCTTCTCTACTTTATACTTACATAACTTACTTTAGATTGAATGAAGAAAACAATGTTGTATACATTTTGGTTTCTATCACATTTTATTTTATGTATCACAAGTGAAAGTGATCGAATTTCCTCTATTGTATTTTATTGTTTCAGTGCCTGTTGTCGTTATTCAATTGTATTGACAATTGATTATCATTACTTACGTATGCCTGTTACTCCTTGTGGAGGAGCATTAATCGCCTATCAGCATTCTCCATCCAACCCTATCCTGGACAATTCTTTCTAATTGTTATTCATCCTTTTCATATCTGCTTTGATTTCCCGACATAATGATCATTAATACAATCATTATTATAGTTCAGGTTATCTGTTTAAAATCATTTCAAAAGATACCATTTCATTATAGATTTTCTATTATTCACAATTATCTATATAATGTTACAAATGTCTTTTTCCTCTTAGCTTCATTTACTTTGTATAAGTTATTAGTTTCCTATTTGATATTTCTAATTCATTATCACTGTGATATTTATATCCTTTATCAATTAGTCTTTCCTTAATATCATTCTCACTATTAACAATGATACAGTTATTGTTTTGTGATTGTTGATGATCAATTTCCTTCTTGTTCTCTCCCTCTTTACGATTCATTATTATCTTTATAACTAAAGATGAAATATTGATATAATTTTCTGAATTGTTCATTAGAAATTTCTTTATGTTCTTGTCTTTTATTTCATTAATAAAATGGTAATGGTAAGATTTGTTTAGTTATATTTTGCTAAATCTACACTCTATTCTTATTCATATCACTTTGTAATCTGTGTGTTAATATTGATATAGTAATTTGAACGGATTTATTTTACGTATATACATACGATATTCTACGTTGTTACTGACTGATTAACATCATTTTCACATACACATTCCTTGTTGTATATGTCAATTTGTTTGAAAAATGACTTTTCATCGGTATTATTATCAGTCGTAATATTGCTTATTTGTTCTAGTTTTCTTAATGTAAAAATTTCGATCATTTGTTATAATACAATTTGATTGAACCCAGCTATTTTCTTACTAAAAAAAGAGGACATAATAAATTGAATTAGACTAAAGGATTAAGTATAGTGGATATTGAACTAAAATGATTATTTCAATGGTTGAAGTCATGTGTCATTTGCCCACCATGAAAAACCTGGAAGCACTAGGCGACCATCTCGTGTGACTCCTCAACAGTGCGCTCCCACGACACCGCCACATGAGATTCTGACTCAGGATCTATCGGTCTCGCGCGCGAACGCTTAACCTCCAAACCACTGAGCGGGTATCCAATTATCCTAATGTCTTACCATAACTAATTCACGAAATTGAGCGACACATCCCTCATTGTCTTCAGTGAGTTTCTATCCCACAACAGACCCGGTTGAACGCCACTGCTTCTTATTAGAAATCCTGGAAATACCACTTGAAGCCAGTCACTAGTGAGCATATGTTCATTCATATCAGAAGGGCTTTTTGGAAATAGTTGAGATGATGAGCCAAGTCCAATTTCCAAGTCCATTTCCGATTTTGTTATTACATCGGGTATAACCAGAGTATGATAAAATGTTTCAAGTAATTCGATCTCAGGAAATACCATTAATCCCACCATGTGTTTGCAAAGTTGTGAATATGTGTGGTTAAGTGTACCTAATCCTACTTTGCACACTGTAGTTGCCTCATATACTCATTTCATCTGAACTACATGTAATAGTGATAACCACTAGGTTTCTAACGGGCATATATCTTCAAACAGCAATACTTCACTGAATTACTCTTTGACCGACTGTAATCGTGTTGCATCTGGTTTTTGTGAATTAATTGATAGTGTCGGATCCCCAACAGTTATTTGAATGAAGATTGACTCATTGTATAAACGACATCTGCACATATTGGATGATTCAACTCAGGGATTCGCTTTGGATGTTTAGCATACACTTGGTGTGAAGAAATCCTGTTTTCGACTCATTTTATCGTAGAAAGTCAACGAGTATTATGGAAGAATAGTGGTTTTTGCACGAAACGATGACTGGTTGGTTTCTATACAACCGCTGACTTTATTCTAACCATTGCGTTCAAAGTGTTCACCTTTCTTCGTTATCGAGTTTAGTCACAGCTAACGGAGTGTTCATTTTGTACAGACTGAGGGATTTCCGGTGTATACACCCGACTAAATTACATTACTTATTGTAAGATTGTGTTCTTGCTTTGGTCCGATTTTAGGTATATTACTTATAAGTAACTAGATTTCTAATAATAAATATATATCACACGAGAAAGTTTATAATTAAATATATGGTGTGGAATGCGAAAATAACCGAAATACAAACAGTGAATAAGAAATTCCTGTTTATACGCACAATTGGGTTGTTCTCACCTGTGTTCACCTTCACTGCACTGCTAGTAATGTTGCAATCATTGGAAGCAATGTTTACAAAGACGCAGAACAGTTGTATATAATTGATCATTTACAACTATTAACCACAAGTTTGTTTACTTAATTAAATAATTAAAGTGTATAAAAGTCATTTAAACCTAGTACAAATCAACGACACAAGTCAACTCATGCACATTCAATGCTCATACATATATGTATAGAGAGTAAATTTATTGTGTTTTTAGTCTTGTGTTAAGCAGTAATGACTGGCACCGACAGAAAGCAATTTTCATGATAGTCTGTAGGTATGTGTTCAATCAAAACAGGAACTGAGGTAAGATTATAATGTGTGAAAATCGATAAAGATAAAGAGAATATTAGATAGTAATGAATGGAATGTAGGTAGATTGACGTGAATGTCATAATTTGAAAAGAACAAAATAACCAACCTTTTTTATATAATTAAGGAAAACAAACGTGAATGACATTGTAATTCATACAAAAATATTCACTGGTGTTCCGTTTCAATAACTTTGTATAATTTAATCATTGAATTCATGAGTCCATTGAAGCACTAGACAGCCGTTTCGTCTTATTATGGGACTCCTCAGCAATGCGCCTTCACTATCGAACGAACTTATGACTCTCGGTCTCACGTGCGAACAACCAACCTCAAGAACACTGAACAGGTGTCCAACGATATTAGTTTCTTACTTCAACTAATCGACAAAATTGCGCCACCGTACTTCTAGGTTTTCCATGGTGGTCTAGCTTCAATTGATTCATGAATTAAATTGTTAAACTACATCAACCTCCACATAGCCCTTCTCTGAATAAATAATTATTCATTGTAGGTCTATTAGGTTCATGATCACAAACACCGGTTTACCAAATTTACATTCTACACTCATTCTAAACTCAATTATGCACAGATGGGTGACAGATGTACTGCAATTTACTCAGATTCTCAAGTTATATACATACTATTTACTTATATGTAGATCTTAAACATTGAAGGTTTGTTGTGTTAGTGTCATCAATGTTATTGTCTAATATATTTGAATGTGATAATTTGGGAGGAATTCGATAGTAAGTGACTTGAATCAGAATCAAATGAGTGTGTTGAATTGCAAGCAGAAACTGTGAACTAGAGTACAAACGAAAATACTTCCTATAGAGGTAACATGTGCCATCATAAAGACGATGATCCTATTGACTGCTTTGTACATGTTTACTGTTACTCGTCCTGCAATTGTGAACTACATACACCCTATTATCTTTCGGAAATTTTCTTTTAACATGAGTAATCAGGACCAATCTTATACTTTACTTATCCTGTTTAGTTTCACAAATACATCGGACATTCGTTTGTAGAGTGAGTTCAGCACGAATTAGAAAATAATTGATCAGTCATGTAGACAAATATGGAATATCATTCACTAATTACCTTTAACTACAGATGTATTTATAGATTTAGCCGTGTGTTTTAACTGACTCATCATTCCTGTGTGTCCGTCTCTGTGTACCCATTTTGTTGTGTTCTTCTGTGAACATTACATATTTTATTCAAACACGACATTTGGTATAAGAACCAAGGTAATTTTCAATTGAACAGTATATGTTGTATTTTTGAGACCGTCAGAATTATCGACTGTATGTCAGACTAAGTTAGAGGTAGGACTATCATAAACCACTGCGAAATAATGTGTGGTGTTTGAATGAACTAATGATACCTTTGTACTTGTTGAATGCTTGATTGAGAATTCTAAATACAGTACATTCGTTTTTGGTTGTCTAGTACTTCTTGATCCGATTACGTTATCTCTGGGATTCTTAGTTCATACCATAATTCAAATACTTCAGTTTTTCAGATCATCTTAATCATATTGACAGAATTTCCAATGTTACTGAGATGGCACCTATCTAAACAAATACTTGTTTTGATACACTTACCCAACACTAAATAAATAACGTCACCAAACCTGTTAATTGTGTTTAGTCTATCGACAGTGCCAGTTGTCGACGTTATCGGGATAACTCATCTCCGACTGATTGCTTAAATGCTTCAGATCACATCTCTTTATATCCAATCACGAACATACAAACAAATACCTTCAGCCCATAAGTAGTATGTCATATCCCAATTAATCACATTCCAATGTCTTCTCATTCGAACTCAGGCAAACTCATAAAATTGTCTATTGTCAATATGCATTATATTTGTTGTCAAAGTGAAATCAACATTCATTTGCATACATATACACTTGATAAGTTGCCTGATCAAGTTGTTTCTGGGAAACGGTATAACACACGAAATTTGTTAGACATCATTTGAATTAATTTAATGGAGAATAACGAGAAAACAGATGAAGAACAAGTACAAACAGACTGCAAAGATGGACAATTGATCGAGATATCGAAGAAAGGCGATCTCAGCAACTGTGATAACTATAGAGGCATCATTCATGTCTCAACAGGATTTTGTTAAACAGAAGGAATGACTACGAAGACACTCAACTTCGAAACTAACAGGCTGGATTTCGTAATGACCGATTGTGTAACGACCAAATCGCAGCACAATGGAACATTATAGAACAATGGATTGGATGGAACTCAGCACTCTACATCAACTTTATTGACTACGGGGAAGCATTTGACATCGTGAATAGGACAACACTATGGAAACTTCTTCGATACTACGACGTACCTGAGAATATAGTCAACATCCTTCTGAACTCCTATGATGGATTAAACTACATAATCGTTCATGGAGAACAGCTGACTGACTTTTTCGAAATAAAGACTGTTGTCAGGCAAGGTTACATACTCTCACACTCTTTCTCCTGATGATCGACTGAATCATGGAGATATCAACATCTCTGGGGAATCATGTGATACAGTGGACAATTAGGATACAACTGGACAATCTAGAATTCACAGACGATTTGGCTCTTCTGTCACACACGGAACAACAAATGCAGGCGAACACGACCAGTGTAGCAGCACTCTCACCAATAGTAGGTCTCAACATAAACAAAAGGAAAGGCGAAATTCTCCAATACGACACAACATGCAACAAACGAATTACACTTGACGGAGAAGATTTGGAGGATGTAAAACATTGACATATCTGGACAGCATGATTGATGAATAAGATGAATCTGATGCAAATGTGAATGTGTGGATCGGCAAATCAACAACAGCATATCTACACCTGAAGAACATCTAGAACTCAAAACAACTTCCAATCAACACCAAAGTCAGAATTTTCAATACAAATGTGAAGACAGTTCTAGTGTATGTGGCGGAAACCTGGAGAACTACGAAAGCCATCATTCAGAAGATACAAGTGTTTATAGCAATTGTCGGCGGAACTCTATTTTATGAACGATCTTTGAACAAATCTTCAGTGGCATTGACAATTATTGGCCAGTCAGAAGACAGTTCATATAAAGTAAAAATATATTATAAGAAACTAATGAATTACAGTGGATATTCTTCTTCTACATGACTTAGAAACTTGTTAAGGTTTTATAAAGTTCCAGATGTTGTGAAATCATAATGCATACGATATAGAAACTCGTCCATTTAACTCCATAATAGTTGTCCTCTGGAGCCGTTATATGGTCTTAAGAACTCCTTCAAA